TTCTAACCACAATCCTGCATCTGCATGGGTTAAAATTTCAATCAACACAGGTTTATTATACAGGACGTTTTTAGAATTTAGAAGTGAACATTGGGGTTTTTTTCCTCTAGCTACTACGATCTGTGATGATGGATGGAAAGCTTTCAAAAGTTCCTGTTACAAAATCATAAATAACCGTATATCGTGGTCACATGCCAAGGACAGTTGTATTGACTGGGAAGGACATTTGTTAATAATTGATGATACAAATGAGCAGGATTATATTTATGGTGAAGTCAAAAGCAGAGATTATGACGTAAGAATACATTTTAGGTCACGTCTCGAGTTGTCTCCTTTAAAAATTTTTAGAATCCTTTTCACCTGCCAACCCATCTGAAAAAATACTTGAACTATGTGTTGAGTGTTAGGTAAAGTAGAATTATAAACATTAAAGAAACGTCATCAGTGCGACAAACATGCAAGCATTGTTAAATATTTTGCCAATTTTAATGAATTGTTTGAGATAGTGTCGCATGTTAATTGTCTTTTATTTTTGAGATAAGTTTTAAAATATTTTTAATGTTTTGTTTATTATATGTACTATCAAGCATTACTGGATCGGACTTAATATGCTTGATAATGACAAACAATGGCAGTGGACTTTTACTAATGCACCTCCAAATTTTACTAACTGGAATATCGGAGAGCCTAATGGCGGTACGAATGAATGGTGTGCTGAAATGTATGGTGGGGGCTAACTGGTTTGTGGAATGATGCACCGTGTGATCAGGAAAATCAATATATTTGTGAAAAGGAAGAAGATAAACGAAAAAATTCATCAGTAAAAAACCCTTCAGGTAAGAGTAATCTTAAAAAACGACTATGAAACGACTAAAAATAAACTTAAAGGACTTACAAAAGGCTAAAATTTAATTTACATTGCTTTTCTATGTTTATACAACTGCAATTTAAAATATGTTTCATTTTGTGTTTTTGTGTTTGTGTTTCGGTTCCATATAGTTAAAATAAAACCAAATAGGACTCAGACCGTTCTCTGCTTCAACGCAAACTGGTGGCTGTCTTTTGATGAAACAGGATGGTCAACCTGTGGCCACAACAGTGATTATATAACTGGCTTTTATCGTAACACGCTCTCTAGTGTAAGGAATGATGGAATTTACAAACTTGAAGAAGCTAGATGCTGTACTTCTCAGTCACAAAGACCAAGTATATGCAAAAATGCTGACTGGTGGGATTCTTTTGACAAGTCAGTACAAAATTTTTAAACTAATATTTTCTCTATACTGTGAAGAACAAATATCAATTTTAAAAAACATATTGTTCCCCGAAAACTTGGTATACTGTAAATGTACAAGAAACCATAGACAAAAACGGAAAGAAGTCCATCATTTTGCAAAAGTAAAAATTTTGATTTTCTTATAAATGAAACTGAAGTCTTACAATCAATGTCTTTTTTCAAATACATGTTCCTTAAATTTTGTGTTGTCAATGCCATTATGGTTGCTCAAAATTTTTTAAAGAAGTCATGCATTTTACATAATATGGCTATAGCTAAAATGCGATTGGTTTTTCCATTGTTTATCCCCTACTTTTAGTTTAAAATGGCATTTAGAAGTTATGTTTTTTTTAACTTTTAAAGTTAGAATGAAACATTTTTGTATTAATTTAATGATTAACAGTAATTAAAAGCGGGAATATAATATGTTTGGTGGGTAGAAAGTCTGCATGAGCAAGATTGCAAGGTTTTACATATTATTTACGAAACGTTAAATAATAAAAGAGCAGTGTGTCGGTATTAGTTAATATATAATCATTATAGCTAGACCAATTAAATTATATTTTCAGACCCAATACTTGGAGTCTTTGCCCATCAGGCCATTTCTTAAGTGGTCTCTATCGTACCAAAGGCAACAGATTACACAATATTGAAGGAGGAAAATGCTGCAAACCAATCAATCATCCAAACCAGTACAGTCACTGTTACGATGAGTACGTCAGACATGGGTTTGACAAGAAAGGATGGACTACGTGTAAAAAACTTGGCTACTATATCACTGGGTTGCACAAAGATCATAAGGGGGACTGGCTTCACAATATTGACTACTTCAAATGCTGTAAAATGTGAACAGGTAATATTTTATCATTATATTTATATAAATACTATAATTACAGTGGTCATTAGCGGTGCTAGGTCAAAATAAATAGGGAAACAATTCAAGGGAGAGGGGGAGGGTTGAATTAATAAAAGTGTCTGTACTCAATTTGATCGTTTAGTATCCTTTTGAACGCTTATGGTAAAGCTATTTATGAATTTAATGAAGTATGGTTTAACCCCAACTTTTTATTGTTTTTAACTCGACTTATTCTATGACCAAACAAAATATGAGTGACTGGTGAATGCATTTATACCAAAACGTCATTTTCAAGTGTCTTTTTAAAACAATGCAGCTGTTTGGAAAATCTTTAAATACACATGTCAACAATTAAGAAAATGATCAGAAGATTTTGATATTTGCTTTGCTAAGATGTGTGTTTAGCGCGGCTAGAAAAACGTCAATGACAGGATAAAACACTATTCTTCTCATGTCTAAGGATCTTAAAATAGTACTACATTTGCCTATTTGATGAAATCACATATTCTAATTTTCCAGGCTCTTTTCTACCCTATATTTTATACTGATGATTCTAGATATGATTGTAAAAATATATGTATGGTTGTATGTTTAGCTTAAAGACTTTCATGCATTTACCTGTTTATCAAAGAAAATGATGGACTTGGGTCGAAGAAGTTGCTGTAACTCAGAATGAATGTATTGTTCTGTAAAACTTGTGTGACGAAAGATAATTCAAAAACTTTTCATCAAAGTACACATACTCATTACAGTATATTTAAGGTTAGCATTAGTGCTATAATTTCTTAAGAATTTCCCTATTTATTTAGTGTAATTAGCTACAATAAATAATTTACCTTTATGTTATTCACCCTATTATATATAATCTATACTAGTACTAAAGGCTGCCATCTTTCCTTTGCTTTGGAAGATGAGTTACCAAATATTAAAACTGAATGTTATTAATAAAATGGATTGCTTCAACAAGCTGAATTATTTTGCATTTAAGCGGAATATTTTGTATTTTATCCCTCAAAACAACTTAAAACGAAGTTTATAAATTACACGTATTAAAAAGAGATAAAGCAAAAGGGCTGAGTGTTGGTAGTAGACTAGAGATCAAGTAGCTCTCTTAACTCTTGAGCAACGAGGGTTTTGTAAGCAGAAATATGAAAAATGTCAAAAGGCAGAGTTCAGCAAACCTTGTAAAAGCTTTGAGAAACTAATTCCAATTTTAGGATAGCATGATATGATTGTTAGGTGGCAAAGTTTACTCAATACTTACTTGAGACTTTGTTCTATGTTTACATGAAGAAAAAAAACGGTGTACCGAAACAGAACTATGACAGCTGAAATGCCTGAAAACATTCAAGTAAAAAGTCCAACAGAAATGAGAAAGTCTGAGACTTATAGATCAAACAAGGGCTTATCTACCAATAGTCATGATAAATTAAAGCAGCTCAATTTTAAGTTGATTTGAAATGAAACTGAGATGAAACGCTTTGATGAAACGTTTTAGCAAAACTTGTACAGTTGAGCCACTGGGTTGACCTCATGTTGAACTGGTTGGGCTCGAAGCTTGAACCTTGTAAATGTCACTTGAAGTACAAAACCGCAGACATAATTCAACTGGATTGCGGGCGTGGTCAAAATTGCACCGAATTTGAATTGAACAAAATTTTGCTACACCACGATACGGAATTATATGCTCAAGACGTCATGAAAAACTTGAAAATAATACTGTCTGAACTAACTTGGGTACTAATTAGAAGCTTTTTAATTAGTATCTATGATTAACTGTGGAGTAATGCAACAAATTTGGTCCAATCCCAATACGTTTGTTGGCAGGAGGTACGTATGTGGCCCTTAATAAGGCATTATATAATAATTATTTTCTTAACAAAATATGAACTATTTTATGCCAAATCAGGAATTATATGTTAAGAAAATACCCATTGTAGTAATATAAAGAAAATTTAGAAACAAGTTGTTGTTCAATTACACTGTTGTTTTTTAAAGCCTGAAATTGATCATTTCGACATTTTGTGGTTTCAATTTTGTTTGAACCGTAAGTGCTTTGGATGTGCACTTCCTAATGAGCACTGAAGCCATAACTATTTAAGTACCATATTGAAACAAAACCTGTTTAATTTATTTTTCTTCAACACTTGGGTGCAGTGAGATTATCTTTCACCTGGATGCAGTTTGAGCATAATTCCGATGTTGACCATCATGGTCAATTAACCTTTATTTGGTTGTAATTATCTTCGGCTAAAATTGTTCTTGTTTTATTTAAGCTCTTTGATACAGTGAACTGTAATATAATAAAATGACAGCTCTTTTGAAATTCCTGACTAACATCCAGTAAGCTTTCAAAGGATTATGCAAGATCTTTTAGGATACAAATAGAAACAAGAAATTTTTCAAGATCCTGTACAGGTTCCTGGTAAAATCCATAAAATCTAAAGCCAGAAATTACCCTAGGTTCACTCAGTCTGAGCACTTTGGAGCAATATCCAATCAATGCTCATTTGACAGGAGGTGCGCAGATTTTTCAATGCAAGTGCATCATTGTGTTAGGTAAAGGTGATAGGGCCTCAGGCTATTGTAGACTTAAAGGCTTATAGACAAGTGAACCATGAAAAATAAAAGTGTTGTTAGTTTTTTAAGAATTATTTGTAAACATAAGTAAATTTTAAATCCAAGATGTATAGCTGTACCATACTTCCTCAAATAATCAACAAAGCTTCAGAAATTATGTATCCAAATATTGCCAACGACAAGTGAAACGCGATTACATCAGTTGTTTTCACACTTGACAAACCAGGGACAAGCAAATGAAGGTCAAATAAAGTTGACAAGGAAAAAAGTGAAAAAGTAACAGGATACTTCATGTTTAGAAATTTATTTCAATTTTAATGTTTCAATTAAAATTTGCATGCTAGAAACTCTGTTGCAAATGGTGATAGTATAAAATATTTAACTGCCTTTGAAATGATAATTTCCACTTTTTACTCAGTCTTACTGATAGTCTACAGTACATAATACCATTTTATAATTTTTCCTTTGGGGGGGGCTTTACAATTTAGGGGGAAGTGTACCCCCTGGATCCCCCTAGAAAATATGCACATGCTTACGAGGTACGCCCTGTTTCTACTGGAGACCAATATTTTTTTGGATTCTAAATATCGTTACTATTCCAATACTATCTTGAAAATAGGATTTAAAACTGTGTATCTTCATGTCAGGATCCTAAGATATAATGATTCCAAGTGGAATCCTTGATACTTTGAGATCCTATGTTAAAATCATGACTACATTTCACAATTAAATTAGGATCATCGTTATTCTTCATCAGGATCTTCGCTGTTGAGAAAGTTTTAAACTTCCCATACCTATTCGCTTAATTTGCCAAAAAATGAATCATTTTCCTCATCTTCAGTTAACAGCGAGTCTTCATCGACATTGCTTTGACTCATACCTTGCTTCGCCCGCAAATTAGTAATCCAACTTTGCCCACTTTAAACTAATACGATGTTGTGTCACTACCTGTAAATTCATTTATGGCCATGAGAGCAAAACACAATTTTTTACCCAAAAAACTAAAAATCGCATCAATATTGGCGTATTTCTTGTGGTCATATTTCAGATACCACTTCTTTGTATTGCTAAAACTTTTGTTAGGCTTACACCACGAGGATGAGGACGTCGGTACCCCTATGACATCACTGATGGCCAGCAAAGCGTGTATGACTAACCTAACCGTGTATCGGCCTCTTCATGGTTACATTTCGTCACGTCAGTAACTTTACGCTTAATGCATTTGGGAGTAATGAGAAAATGAGAAAAGAATTAGCAAATATAATTTTAACTGTCAAAAAATTTTTATTGAGCATGATATGCTATACATTTTTAGTCGCTTTCATTGGTCCGTTGACTTAATAGAGAAATAAATTCCACACCAGTATGCAAAATGGTAGTTATTGGTCAAAATCCGAAAATTGAAAACAAGACTTATTGCGAAAAAGTTAGTAATGTAACAATTTGTACAGATGTGGTGATCTCTAAAGATACCGACGTTCTTAGCCTAATTGTATGGGTCCATCGAAAGATTCGCATTATGAAGTAATGGTATCTGAAATATGACCACAACAAATATGCAAATATTGGTGCAACTAAACTAGCAACCTAAACTTTCGGTGTTAAAATGTTTAGTTAAGCATTTCCTTAGTACGGTAAAGCATCAGCCCCGTCTATGTAGTAGATTCATGTGCAAGATACTGAAAGGTATGTGTACAACTGGAGTAGGATTCTTGTGAAGGAAACATTAATTTTAAGACTTTATAGGACCCTGGATAAAATATACTATAAGGATGCTGTTCAGGATTCTATACAAGATTTTCATAAATGTGGCAATATTTTTCTATCTAACATACAGAGATTTGAAAGCGTAAAGAGTCGGGAAGGGTTTATAATTTCAGTTAAATCATTAATCCTTTTTTGTTTTCAATTGATAAACAAAAACTTTAAAGTCACAAAAGTTCACGTTAATTACAAAAATTAAGAAATTTTGGGAACGATGTATTTATGTACTTACAATCCACTGGAGTAAGTAACTTCCTGTGCAAAATATTAACAAATATCATTTATTAATGCTGCAAATACTCTCATCACACATATCTCATTTCAATTCACTTGAACACTGGTGCGAAGCGCCATTACAAACACTAGAGCAAACGACAAGCATCAGATGGAGCTTTATAAATTGTATATTGGGCTTTTTCTTGTGACGTGTGCACTTCATGGTGAGTGAATATGAGAACTTGTACTGGTTTTACTGCAAAAATTGCTGGAAGTTTTGACATCACGCGCTAAGTAAATACAAATTGACTCTGGTGTCAAACGTTATCATGTATTGGATGACGCAAAAATTGCGCTTTTTTACTATTATTGCCGTATCATTGTCTGTTTGAAAGGTTTCTTATGATTTTGAAGTGCTTATTTATCATTGCTGTACAAATATTGATTACGTATGACTTATTTCATAGAAATATAGTCAATTTTGCATGCTCTAATTTCTATATTTATTATTCGCCGCTAACGAGGTCATCAAGTCACATGCTTGAAATAAGTATTTTGACATTTCATAGAAGTTGTCATTAATTGCTCCTTTCTTATGTGTTTGTTTGTAAGAATTAAGAAAATACTAATGATAACATTAATTCCTTTATAAATACGCAAGTGTTAATTCTTCAACCCGATACTTAAATTGTTATGTTGTGCTGTTTATTTTATTATTTTTGCCTGTTCATCGTAGAATGGACAGCCAAAGCAAAAAAATTTTTGTCTTTTTTATCTTGAATGAGTATGAGCTGAATTGTATTTTATATCTGAATATCAAACACTACCACTAAGCTAATAGTGTAATTTAAATAAACGGGATTGACATGCATACCATTCTTGGCGTGTGGACGTGACTGAATGACGGTATCATTTTCAATTTGAAGTTGAATTTTAATTTATTGAACTTTATGGGGTTGAATTACAAAGGCTGTAATTGCGATATTAATTTTAGATGTGATTTCCAACTCGTCAGTGAAAAAAGTTTTTCAGTTTTTTGAATCGTTTTATTTTTACGGCTGTTTAAAGTTGTCGAAAACACTCCTTTTGATGGACCTTACCCGTCGTTTGAAAAGTCTAGGACGACTTAATTTGTGACGTCATGCACGTGATTTCTCAATACAAGATATATACGTCAACTACCTTGGATGACGTCAGAATTTGGCTAGACCCAGACTTCATGCCACGACGGACAAGGTCCGTTGAAAGGCGACTTAAACCTCCATAACAAGAAGACGATTTGATCAAATTGAAAAATTTTCTTCACCGATACGTTAGATATTACACCAAGTTTTGATATCGCAAATAAAAGTTTTTGTTGTTAGGGAACTTTAAACAAATATTATTACAATGTTATTATTACTTAATTCGTGCAACCAATAAAACAATTAAAAGCATAATATCTCCTAAAAATATTTCTGATAATATTTTGTAATAAAAAGGAGTTTTTAAAACGTTCGGTCATGCAACAAAGATGATCTATTAAGAAGGAATTCTCTTTGGCAAAAATTCCTGGCGTTTGGGATTGATATTAGTGTTCTTAAAAAATTTGACATAGCCTGTCACAACCTTAAAATATTCACATAGTTCAAGGCCTTTTTCATGACTCAATGACGATACAATTCTTTTCAACGCACGTTTCTGTTATTCAATGTCTTCACATAAATAGTAGGTAATATTAAAATGCCATACAGGGCAAGCAAGCATATTCGAATACATGTCTAGTCAATGTAGTATATTGTAGTCTATATTCTAGCCAATGTGGTACATTTCTTGGAAGTCGTCATTAATTGTTTTTTGTATTAGTATTTGATCGTTTTAATGTTCTTTAGTTTTAATAAAAAAGAACTTTTGTGTTGTTTGTCAACATTTTGCAATCCACTTTAACCTTGACTATCTTTAGATTCCGTGCCTAAAAAAAAATTTACATTGTATACGATGCATTGGAAATTTTCAATGTTGAAAAATGATTGTTCGGATTCAACTATATAGATGTAATTGGTTTAATCTTTTGAAATTTTTCAGTGATTACAAGTCAAAGATGCCCAAAAGAGTGGAAGGAATTTGGAAGTTCGTGCTACCGCTTTGTCGTACCTACTCTACAAATTCGCCAAAAAAGTTGGGAAGACGCCAGAGCAAACTGTTTGGGCTACGGTGCAGATTTAGTGTCAATTCGCAACTCTACGGAAATGGATTTTATATACAATACAACCAGCCAATTGGGAAATTTGAAATTCTGGATTGGTTTCTTCCGCAATAAAACAACAAACTTTCCCAAAGAAGGTTGGGTATGGAGTGATGGGAGCAGTTCAAACAACACAATACCATGGTCACGTGGGGAACCAAATAATTACAAAAACAATGAAAATTGTGCTGAATTTTTTGCACGAAGTAAAGATTGGAGTGATAATGATTGCGCCAAATCGTTTGCTTACATTTGTAAAAGAAGAAAAGGTAAACTCTGTTTTGTGTTTTTTATCGATGTGGTGTGAAATAACTAAAAAGTCTTCATTTATCATTCATGCTTTAATTTCATATTTTAATCAGGTCTCCCAGATCCAACCACTCCAAATGTTTCAGCCATTACTCCTACAAAAGGTATTCTTCAATTTCATTCTTTTGTTGAGTTCATTTTGTGTAAGAAAGAAGTTTTACTTTCATTGATTAAACATCTAAAGGAAAAGTGTCCTCGTAACATGTTTGATTTACGTTACAAGAGCACTTTCTGATTAAATATTGCATGGGAAATTGTGCTTGCATTATGTTTTATGGTTAACTGGTTATAAATATACATGCAAATTTTTATTTTCGTGTATGATTTATAGATATAATCAAGACATCATTTTTTGTATGTTTTTAATATGGCAATCATTCACGGAAGCTGATATGCAAACGACTTGATTTACATTACACGAGGTTCATTGTCACAATAAGCCAGACACCTATTTGGTGTTTTCTCAAGCTACTTGGGAACAGTGTTATATTTGCGAATTATTGTACATGGCTAACATCACAATGAAATTAACGTAAATGCAATTTCACATGTGAGAATGAATTATGTCAATCATGTTTCATTTTACGTTTCATTATTGACAATGACAAGTGAAACGATTCAAGAAAGATTTTGATTTTCTCAAGGATTTCGTGTGAATTGTGCAATCTTGCAACACGACAGGAAAACTAAACTTAATTTTAAGCTCAGATCTCATTCATCTCCAACGTTGGCGATAGAACTTTTACGACTTTGGCGAGCGTTTACGATTAATGAGAACGCATTAAAAATTGTGTTGCCGATTTTTTATGACGTTCGCTGAACCTCGGCGCTGCCATTGCAATAAACAAAACAGTTTTGTTTCTTGCGATCATCGCTGATCATTGCCGAGTGCTACTTGCTTAAAAAATCATTTAGAACGAGAATCTGTTTAGTCAGGCAACTTCGGCGACAACTTCTATTATAAACATTTCAATCTGCACAAACATTATCAACTTTATATTAAAAGGAGCAATTTTTTCTTTGGTATGAGTATCAATGTGCGTTGACTAATATATCCTCACCGATTTATGAGAACCTTTCGTGCACCGGCCATCTCTGACTATCGGCAATGAAAGTCGCCGAGTATAGCGACGCTTTGTGATGAATGAGAACTAGGCTTTACCTTCGGTAGCCCGAGTATTGAGTTGATGGGAAAGGGCATTAAATATAAGAGTCGACCGTATGATCATTAGCATTTGGTCACTAACATTCAAAGGAATCAAAAAATATATAAGTATAGGTTGATAAAGAATTTTTCTAAAAATTTTATAGCTCCTCCTCCTTTGTGTGATTTTGGTTGGATGCCATACAATCGATCATGTTACAGATTTTTTGAAATTCCAAGATCATGGAATGCCGCAAAAACTGCTTGTCGAGATACCGGAGGACATCTTTTGAGAATTAATGATGATAGTGAGCAACATTTCTTGGCTTATATTGCGCGTCCGAAGACTGAGGTAGTTATTTTCATGTATTGTTGTGTATTAGTCTGATAAAATTACTAGGCACCTGTATTCAAGTTAAATTATTACATCAAATCATTATTTTATTAACTATCTTATTGCCTAATATTTTAGCATAATGTTTTTAAACATGCTGAGAATCATAGGTTGACAGATTTGGATGTTATTTAGTTAATAAAAGAATGCAAGACGTAACTAGAACGTTAATTGGGGGTGGGGGGGTTTGCCGTACTGGTTTCTTTTGAAGTTCAATTTACTTTCAAAAGAAATCAGTAGCCCCAATTAACGTTCTAGTTACGACTCTGGATGCAAACGTTTGGTGATAGTTTTAAATTTGTCGATTTAAGATATTCTTAACATTCACTATAGAGGAAAACTGTTGGTTTAATACAACCTACGACATGTCTTTTTTGACTGGATTTAAACTTAATCATTATGAACTTTTTCTTAAAAACATTCATCTAGAATTTCTGGATCGGCTTGAATAACCTTAGTAAAGCTGGACAGTGGATGTGGGAGTTTGGCAATAACGATACATTGACATACACAAATTGGCAAAGTGGTGAACCAAATGGTTTTGGAATACAACAATGTGTTGAGATGTATAGTTCTACTCAAGCTGGTTTTTGGAATGATGCAGGTTGTCAAGAAAGGAAATTTTATATCTGTGAAAAAGAAGAAGGTAAAAAGTCTATTGAAAAGATACAACAGTAGAGAGTTTTTGAAAATGTTTGAAATGAACATGTATCTACGTAGTTTGAGATTGTATTTTCTTATTTCAGACTGCGAATTTTAAATATCTATGCATAATGTTGGATTTGATATATTTTAATTTCAGACGACCTTTCAAAGCACGTCTCCATATAAAAATGATGTGTAGCTACATTTTTCACATGTGAAGAAGTATTTTTAAGTACAAAATCTAGACCAATTTGACTTACCAATGTTGTGCTAGTAAAGCTATCTCTCTCTATATATACAAAGATTTACTTATTAGGAGTGTGGCTACAAATTACAGTAAGTTAAGTGTATGTAATGAAGAGACAAAAAAAATATATTAGGAAAAGTGTTAAGTGAGTGAAGAAAGTCTTAAAATGGTCGAGTGGGATCGAACTGCCTTGGATATTCAGTGTGGGTGCGAATTTATAGATCAGAAGGCTTTCATGGATCATTAAATCGGGGATGTATTGTGAAGAAGAGATGATAGTAAAGTCGGGAAAGGTAGCTGACTGACCTGATGTGTTAATATGGGACAAGATGCAGGATTATGAGCTTTCGCTGTACCCAAGAAGCTCATCTATTTCTGCCCTCTACGCTCTCAACTTAACTGCAACGCTGCCTTCTCTCACATAACCATTAGGTTTGTTTTCTGTCCTTCTACACGTATTTCTTCCTTCTTTTCTTTCAAGGACAAGATCCCCAAGTTCCTGAGGTCTGGTGTTGTTTATCCTTTTTAATGTGGACGTTGTAACGCGTCGTATATGGGTCAAACCACTCGTCATCTTCACACCATAATCTCAGAACAATTAGTCATCTTGCCTTTGACACAAAACAGTTATCATGCTCCACTAAATCCAGCATCTTATCCCATATTAACACATCAGGTCAGCTTCCTTTCACGAGTTCACTATCATCTCTCACCCTACATCCTAGAATTATTTAAATTGAAAGTGTTAAAGCCTCCTGATCTCTAAACTCACCACACACTTAATATCCAAGGAAGTTTGATTCCACTCGACCTTTTTTAGGTATTCCATAACGTTTTGCGTTCATTTGCAACATCTGTATTTTCGCTAACACTTTATACTTTACATTTTTTCTTGTATTTTTTTTGTCTTGTTCATTACACTAAACTCATTCTAATTTAACATTAGTAACCAAACTCCTTATAAGTAAATCTTTGTATACATGCATATATAGCCGGGAGGCACATGGTTATACACGTTGTACACATATAAACGCACTCCTTGACCATTTTAATTATCACTCTGATTATGTCTTGTGTAAAAAGCAATAGCAAATTATCAATAGCAAAACAGATAGTTCCTTGATAATAATCATTTTTTACTTGCTTTTTATGATAAATTATAATTAAATTTGCTGTATTTACATGTATTATATTCATAAGAAATTTTCTACCCTAATTCAAGAGTGTCATTTTACATTATAAAGCCTGATCTCATGTTATCTATATTATAGGTCACAATGTATGCCCAGACGGTTGGATTGCTTATGGTAACAATTGCTATCAGTTTAACATGCTACCATCACAGAAAATTACCTGGTCTGCTGCTGAAGCGGCGTGTAAAGCTTTTGGTAATTTTGCTGCTCTAGTTACAATAAGGAGTCAAAATGAACAGGATTTTATAAAGAGAATGATGCAACGGTACAATGGTTTAAATGCTTGGATTGGTCTCAATGACATAGCACATGAAAATGTTTTTGAATGGACTGGCGATAAGTCGATTTTGGATGGAAATGATTTCAAGATTTGGGCGAATAGAAAACCAATTGAAAACAGAAAAGAATGGGATTGTGTGACATTGTTGGGGCTAAGAATAGATACTGCATGGACGGTTCAAAACTGCTCACAACTTCAAAACTATATTTGTATGAGACATAGAGGTATGTTGTTGATTATAAAATATGGTGCAATCAAGTAACCGAAAATTTTCCTTTAGATTTTAAAGTGCATTAATTTTAAAATTAATGTACTCTAACACATAATTCTTGTCATTATATCCAGATTTATAATCATTAATAACAACCGACCGAATTGTTCATTTGAATTTTCTTCAGAATTTTGTGAATGTTAGCAGTTGAACTGGATACTATTATTTTTTCAAAACACGAGATGGTTTTCAATGACATAAAATCGGCGCATTCGAGGCTTTTATGAACGTGTAGCAAATGTGAAACAATGGTGGAAAATTGATAAGATTATTTGGGATATTTTAACGAACAAAAAATTTTCTCAATCTTGCTTCTTTTAATATATTACTCTATAGGGTTTTTTGAAATTTGAGTATTTACCTTCATTTTCCAATAATCATTCTTTGTATAGTTTTGATTCTTATTTGAGTCGACTTTAAGTATCGACAAAATATATTGTTATATAAAGTTACGAAGCAACCTTTTACCGAAAATACATAAAATCATACGTGGTAGCTTGTTATGGAAAATCTGAAGCAGCCTAAGCTGCAAGATTTTGGTCAAATATTTCAGAAAGAATCATAAGACAGCCAAGCGCTTTAAATTGGTTTTGTTTAGGTCATTTTATATATGGTTTGATAATTTTCACCTTCAATCATAACCATTTTACGCTATATTCAATGCTAACATGGTGTATACAAATGCTTAAGATATCACATTGGTTTGGTATCTAGATCTACCATATTGTAATGCTCCCTTGGGAATGGAGAATGGAAGAATCTTGGATCGCCAAATTACAGCCAGTAGTTTCCAGGCTTCGCATGAACCAACACAGGCTAGATTGAAACACAGTGGTTCATGGTGTCCTAGTATTAAAAATCAGGTAAGAGTATCTTGTGTGTTAGAATAGCTTCTAAGCCATAGTACGACAGTATAATACCATGAAGTGTTCACGTATGTGAGATTAACGAGAAATGTTTGTTTGGCAAATATAAATTCAGACTGTAATTGCCAAGAACGTCGAAACCACAATGCATGTTGTGAATACTGATCTGCAGTGCAAGATTGTTTTCGTATAAATTATTTATTTGTCCACTAAAGCGTAATTTAGTAAAATCTTTGTTGATCGTTCTACAACAAAGCTAGGTCGATCAAAGCAGGGCAGAATTAAGCACTTTTAAAGTTGGACTTTATTATGTATATTTTGACAACAACGAAACGAAAACTTACATAGGTGTTACTGCATGCACTTTTAAGACACGATACCGAAACCACATTAAATCAATGACGAACAGTAAATACCGCAACGAGATAGAACTTTTTAAACACAAGTGGACACTGAAAGAAAACAAACGAAACTACAACATTAAAAGGGACTTCATCAAACAACTTCCACCTCCGAACAAAAACCAGAAAACCTGCCGTCTTTGCCTTGAAGAAAGACTACTAATCCTAAAAGGACGTAAGAAGAACATTTTAAATAAACGTTCCGTACGATCTCTTTAGTGCATGCCGTCATGTAACCTATTACTTTTTAATGAAATGCATATATTCAGTGAATAATAAATAATCGGTCAGTTGCCTGAAGATCGCCCTACGGCGTGAAACTCCGAGTAGCGACAGCAAAAACTTGTCTGATTTTATTTTATAACGTATATATTTTTATATATATATATAACGTGTATACAATGTGTATGTTATACATATATACATATAACACTTTAAGACTATTGACATATGGCCCAGGGGTGAAAACTCAACATAATTCTAAGAAAAATTTGATTGGCTTGCTGAAACGTTTTATATTTTACAATTTAAAAAAAACTGAGAAAGTTAGCCCAAAGACTGAAGATACGCGGAATTTATAACAATTTTTTTGTACTTCAGGAACAATATCTCCAAGTTGAACTCCCTTATTTGGCTGATGTAAGAAAGATAGTTACCGAAGGAAATATCACTTCTTACATACTCAAAGCTAGCAGAGATGGAAGGGGATATAAAACATACAAGACTTCAACTGGGAAAAAAGAACTGGTACGGAGTCACAATAATTGCGTTGATCAATGCAAACATTGATGAAAAGTTATTTAAATTTTGTCTGATTTTGTGTCATATATTTTTCATTTAGAAAAATTAGATTTGTTATTTATCAAACTTACTGAGACTGGCCTTCTTTCAGATACTTATGAGTCATGTGAATTTTTACTGATTATGGCCAAAATTAATGAAAGAGTAAATTGATAAAATAATTAACAATTAAATGGTTCTAATTTTCAGACACCGACCAAATTAGATAGCTTTGATTACCTTGACACAAAATCCTTGGTGGCAAAGTTCATACGAATATTTCCTAAACGCTGGAATATAAATAAATCTCCATGTTTAAGAGTGGATTTTTCTGGTTGTCCTGCACAAGGTAAGTATACATATATACTATAACCATTATCCCAAGAAAGACATTCAGCAACAGGTTTTGCAGGATGTTTTACTCATTTACTGTATGTAGGAAAGTACGTTATGTAAGGATTCACGATTGATGCGAGCGAAAAGTATTTTATGTGTGTTCTTTCTGCTCTATAACAATGATCATATAAAGTAAATGGTTTGAACCCTGGAGTATCGTTACATGTTTGTATATGAAGATCTTCCAGGTTAGTAGAGTCCTGAGAAGGACTGTTGGTGTTGATGCTACCGCTAAAGTTGTCGAAACGTCAGTCAACATCAACAACTGAAGCCCTTCTCAAGACTCTACTAACCTGGACGATCTACATCTACAAACATGTAACGATCATATAAGTTCACATGGAACATATTTGCATTCTAGTGTACTTTTATCAGTTGCCTGTTTAGTTCGTCGGGAATATTTCACAACATTTAATACTACACAATAACTAACGCCATATTTCACTGCGTCTGTATATGTATTAGAAAGGCGTTCTGATGGAACAAATTTGAGCCATTCACATTACACCTTCTCTAACTAAAATCGTTTCACTACGCCTGTGTATGCATCAGAAAGGCGTTTAAAGAGCAAAGTTAAATATTTCAAATGTTGCATCCTTTAACTATGCATATACGTATAATTCAACTCTCAACTTCCATTTCTATTTCAATTTCTTTCATTTTGCTCCAGTATTCAGCAAGTGTGGGGAGAAAAACTGGATCAGTGGACCAGGCGATCTTTGTTTACAAATCAACAAGAACTATGCAACATGGACTGGTAATATATTATGTACAGCTGAGTCAATTTTAATGTTTTCACGTTTGCGTATAAAGTCATTCTTATAATTAGTGCATGATACTGAAAAATAGCTATACATCACGTAGCTATAGTCTTTCAATTTTGGTTTTTCAAGTACCTTCTTTTGTATCGTACGCACAAATACTTGAAGTATGAGTTCATGATTGTTATTTCTGGAAAAATGGCAGTGTTCTTAGTGAGAGACAAACAATAATAATAAGCATGCTAAATTTTGCTTCAATTTCATGTTTACAGCTTTCTTCGATAAACGTAAAAATTGCAATTGCCGTGCACTTTTGCAGAATTGGCAATTATGATTTTATCTGACTAGGAATGACATGAAGTCTTACACTTGATTTTGTACTTTAGCTGAGTCATGCACGATGAACTAATGTTAAGTTCTTCTTTAGAACCAGTGAGATAAGCATGAAAAAAATTCTTCCATATTTTTACTCATAGCTATACACTGAAAATAAATTTAAAATATTTTTACAACCGTATTAAAGTAAAAGGGGCAATATCTGTAATGAATACTGAAATATTTAAATTTACAAGCTAATTTAGTAAAACAAGAAAACTGCTAAAGGATCTAAAAATTAGTTGGACTTCTTTTTCACCATGTTTGAGATCACAATATCACATCATTATGCAGTTTTGACAGTGTTAAAATGTAAAAGTCACATTTAATTGCTATTTACGCCCAATTCTCTCAAAATTTTTTCTTCACAACATAAATAAACAAAAAAATAGAACTTTTGCGATTGTCTGTAACTTTACCCCTTGCACCTAGGCTAAAAAACTTAAATTTAAAGGTAAAAAAATGTAATTGCTCTCAAGATTCGTTTTTATCATTGGTCTCCATAACCATAATATTGTTTCTATCCAGAGGCTCGGTCATCCTGTATAGAAAAAGGAGGAGATTTACTGACAGTCTCCACGTATGACGACATGAGCACGATAAAGACATTGTTACAGAAAAACTCTGCATATAATGATTACTGGATCTCACTGAATGATCGGGATTATAATAACGTTTATTATTGGACTAATTCTGAGAATGCTGCTTACTTCAATTGGGGTTCTGGATCTCCTAACCTCTGGTCTAGTGAGTATATCCAAATATAATTGTATATTTCTCATTGTTCTTGATTATTTTGTTCCATGTTTTAACTATATCTTATTTGTTGTAGAAGTGAAAAAGTGTACTTATCTGGAAGCATGGACAAACTATTTCAAGGACGAGGATTGCTCACTTCGTTTTCAATTTATCTGCATGAAGAGAGGTATTTGTATTTCATTTTTTCTTTAAAGAATATCTTTATTATGCCATACGTACAGTGTTGAATAAAACAGTGTTGAATATTTGAATAATATGTAGAGAACAAACAATAGGAAACGTCCAATAAAAGTCTTTTTGTGTCTCACATCATATTACTTTGGTTATTACCATAATGGAGCTAGTAAGTTGATTTTCTGACCTATAGGAACGCTGAGTTGAGACGTAGCCAGTATTTTTATTAAATACCCACACGACTTTGTTGCACAGCGAAGTTTTTATTATGCTTCTTTTCTTTATTAAATCAGTATTCAAACTCCCAACGTTACATAAACAATTACCAATTTTCCCATGTAATGTTTTATTCTATTTAATATCCAAATGTTTTCCTTGTATCCACTATATGGCTCCTACAAGCTAAAAAAAAATAGTTAAGTTGGAACCTCTGGTGGATAATCTCACGTACATGTAATCTCAATTACATTTAGTATATCTCAAGACTGAACGTAATTTTTTACTATTTTCAGAATTATGTCTTAAAGTCAATTTGTCGTAAATGTATGCAATCCTGAATATATTACTAAACTAATTGTAAAAGTGAAGTTGAATAATCATTTATTTGCAATTTGACATTTAGGGCAACGTTTGAGAACAAACATCATCCAGTCCGGTCCAACTGGTGGTATGTTAACTATTATTAAACAAAATATTGTTTTGCATTTTGATGGTATAATTCTTCTGCACAAATAAATAATATATCATTAAAGAACTCACCGACCTCATCTAATTTTCTCTTTTTTTCGTCAGTTTTCTATTCTGAATTTGTTTAATTATTTGTATGAGATGCGTATGTTATATTTTTCGATAGTATGGGTGAGCAGTACCAAGTATTACTGGCCATTATCTGATGATGAGGTTGTACTTGGTACAAGATCTGGTAAATTAAATGGAAAAATTACGCTTGCAACTGGCGTCAAAGGAAAACCAAACTCTGCCCTTCAGTTCTCTGGTGAAGGATCTTTTATTGATGTAGGAAAGTTTGATAAGGAATGTTTTGGAAATCCTGATTACTGTTTAGCTCTTACTTTATCTTTCATGGCTTGGTTTGACGACAATTCAATTTCATCAACAAGACGTTTGAATATTTTGGACTCCATCGAAGGAAACGAAATGACAAACAATGGTCTCGGCGTTTACCTTCAAAACAATGAAATGTATTTTGTGATCTCTAAAACATCAAACTATTTTAAGAGTTCCATATCCATTGTGGCAAACGAATGGCGACATTATGTTATGATATTTAACGAATCATCTGGAATGAGTATTTTTGTGAATGGTCAAATTGTTCCTTCGAAAAGGTATTTATAACGTTATTTCCCCAAGATTGCTTTTTATAATGTATGAGTGGATAAATGGGGTGTTTAAAGTACTTCATTGTTATTTTTATCAGAAAGTTGCTATCATTTATACATCAAAATATATGTAGCTATTTTGCAAAATCACATCACGCAGATTACTTCCTCCGACATCATTTTGTGTGCTTTGATTTGTTGTTTTAGTTTTAGGCTCATTATTGCATAATCGATATCTTATCAATAGCATTTCTAGATCCACAAGAACTGGGAAAACTGATAAGTCAACAAGAAGTTTCAAGATAGGACTCTACTATCACTCTCCTGTCAAAAACAGTAAAATTAAGCTATCGATGGTTGCCTTTTGGGAGAAAATGTTATCTGCAAAGGATATTTCATCTATTTATAACGCAGGTGATTATTTTGTTGACACTATTCAATTGCTGAAGATTTCAATTCATGCAACCCACAATGATTAGATTTTTGGGGGGGAGGGGGGCGGCTGGGGAAATGTTCATGTTTCGTGTCATATAATCCATAGAAAACAAAAGATTTCAAAGGAGCTAATACGCAGAACATGCAAGTATGGGTATATTAATATTGCCCCCACCGCGATCGACAAACTTAGACGCCACTAAAAGACTGCATACCACACGCAGCATATTCGCCAAATAAAACTATGGATCCAAGCAACATTATAGCTGCATTTTTGTTTAAACTTTAACATACCAAACACGAATTGAGTGAATGGGCTTAATTGATCGAGAAAAGCAAAAAAATGTGACACTTCATTTTTCAATTTTTAAATCAGATTCATCCAAATTATATTAGATAGACACAGATAGACACACACACATTCAAGCTTCGGTCTGGCTGAGGGGATGAGACTGATGTATTTAGAATAAATTAATTCGCAAACATACCATCCAGTAGTAATTATTGGTTAAAATAATGTGTCCGAGCAAGAATTTGCCGATAGTTTGCCTGCTGGCTAATCTATAGAGTTAACTTCATGTAGCTGCATACAGTAATCGTCGAGTCGTATATTTTGATATGCCTTTAATGGATCTGTTTTGTTTATTTGACATTTCCATTTATCTTGGTGTAGAGTTTGGTGTTTGTCTCAAGAATTGGATCGAATATGGAATGTCTTGCTATCAATTAAATAAAGATTCAAGATCGTATTATTGGGCTCAAAGAAGATGTCAGAGCTCAGGTGGAGACCTCGTCAATATTGGCAGCAATGTCGAGCAAGCGTTTATAACTGCATGGCATTTAAAGTACAAAGTGGTTCGATCTTGGATAGGTAAAGCTTATAAATGAAATTGCTTGTGCATGTAATATTATTTTTTTAAAAAGATTTTATTTACAATACTTTATATAATAACCAGAAGAATTTGAGCAATTTCATTGGTCGAGAGTAATAATCTACAAGAGGACATACGCACGGAATTGACGTCACTGAAAATTTCATGTTTATAAAGACAAACAAATGGCGGATATATTTGAAAATTTATCGCAATACCTCCGTGAATGGGAAAATAAAGATATTCACAAAGACCTAGTTTAGGCAGTTGACGTATTTGAGCAAGAAGAAAAGAAAAAATCCGGTTTTCAAACATTAATTTGTGATTTCTATCAAGGCATGTCAATTTCTTTCGTCATTTTCAATAAAATTAAAACGGACATTATTGTTTTTAAACAAGCACTCATACACACACATGGCAAGTACCTAGAATTGGATACTGCGATGCGACTTTTTGGATTGGGTTTTAAATTAGTTATACAATAGCAAATGAATATATTCGACAAATCGACTTCAAGGTAATTCTATTCAAAATCATCAGACATATTTAAGGCTGGCTAAATTCTAAGTTAAAAAAAAGGCTGAAGTTGTTTCACCGTTTGCAGTATCCTTGGATATTATAGTTTATTTGTGAAAAAACTCCCATTTTAGGACTATGCCTCCTGATACCTTTTCATGATTTGTACCTACATTTACCTGTCGTGTACAAATGAGCTTGGGATTACACTTGCCAAAAAATCTGATGGTTTGAGATGGAGTTATCATTTCTGACTTTTAAAAATATTGACATAGGGGTAATGAGGAGCTCTTAATTAAGCGCAGATTTAGCTATTTTCTAACAAATATATCAAGTTGACATTTGAAACATATACATGACTTGCCTTGTTTACGTTTAGTTGGCAGGCAGACTTGTCCCAATGGAAGTAAAGCATTGTTGCTAGTGCTGTCTAAAAAAACTCGACCAAATCTGCGCGACAGAAAACGTAAACAAGGCGATTCATCTATAACTGAAAATGATGACTTTTTTTACATTTAATTTTTTCAACCATTTTAGGAGTTCACGATAAAAAAAAAGAAGGGTCTTACGTTGACACTGATGATAATTCAGTTGTATATTCAAACTGGGCGCCAAAGCAACCAGATGATTGGGGGAACAACGAAGATTGCATTCACATTTTACGTAATGGCATGTGGAATGATTTGCCGTGCTATCGTTACAACGCGTTTATTTGCGAGAAAAGTAAAAGTAAGTGATGTTTTTAAAAATTTTTATAACTTGTTTGCTTTTTATTCTCAATGATATGTTCTTGTTCTTTTACTATTCATTCAGAATAAGAAAACATGTAGTCATCATTATGACTTTCTGTACTTATAGACTGCTGTACTGATTTTCTGTACTTATAGACTGCTGTACTGATTTTCTGTACTTATAGACTGCTGTACTGATTTTCTGTACTTATAGACTGCTTTACTGATTTTCTGTACTTATAGACTGCGTTACTGATTTTCTGTACTTACAGACTGCGTTACTGATTTTCTGTATTTATAGACTGCTGTACTGATTTTCTGTACTTATAGACTGCGTTACTGATTTTCTGTACTTATAGACTGCGTTACTGATTTTCTGTACTTATAGACTGCTGTACTGATTTTCTGTACTTATAGACTGCTGTACTGATTTTCTGTACTTATAGACTGCTGTACTGATTTTCTGTATTTATAGACTGCTGTACTGATTTTCTGTACTTATAGACTGCTGTACTGATTTTCTGTACTTATAGACTGCTGTACTGATTTTCTGTACTTATAGACTGCTGTACTGATTTTCTGTATTTATAGACTGCTGTACGGATTTTCTGTACTTATAGACTGCGTTACTGATTTTCTGTACTTATAGACTGCTGTACTGATTTTCTGTACTTATAGACTGCTGTACTGATTTTCTGTACTTATAGACTGCTGTACTGATTTTCTGTATTTATAGACTGCTGTACTGATTTTCTGTACTTATAGACTGCTGTACTGATTTTCTGTACTTATAGACTGCTGTACTGATTTTCTGTACTTATAGACTGCTGTACTGATTTTCTGTATTTATAGACTGCTGTACGGATTTTCTGTACTTATAGACTGCGTTACTGATTTTTCTGTACTTATAGACTGCTGTACTGATTTTCTGTACTTATAGGCTGCTGTACTGATTTTCTGTACTTATAGACTGCGTTACTGATTTTCTGTACTTATAGACTGCTGTACTGATTTTCTGTACTTATATGCTGCTGTACTGATTTTCTGTACTTATAGACTGCTTTACTGATTTTCTGTACTTATAGACTGCGTTACTGATTTTCTGTACTTACAGACTGCGTTACTGATTTTCTGTATTTATAGACTGCTGTACTGATTTTCTGTACTTATAGACTGCGTTACTGATTTTCTGTACTTATAGACTGCGTTACTGATTTTCTGTACTTATAGACTGCGTTACTGATTTTCTGTACTTATAGACTGCTGTACTGATTTTCTGTACTTATAGACTGCTGTACTGATTTTCTGTACTTATAGACTGCTGTACTGATTTTCTGTACTTATAGACTGCGTTACTGATTTTCTGTATTTATAGACTGCTGTACTGATTTTCTGTACTTATAGACTGCGTTACTGATTTTCTGTACTTATAGACTGCGTTACTGATTTTCTGTATTTATAGGCTGCTGTACTTGTTCGAGCTTATTTACATCAATTTTTTTGTTTTCCACTGCCGTAGGTGTACCAGTGCATTATTCGAATGTGACCCAAACGAACACCACGTTACTAAATTTAGGTAAGTTACAAATAAATCATTATATTTCTTAAAGGTCAACATTTACATTTACGTACGTCTGTATTCTAAAGTTCACTCATACATACTGAGTGCAACACAGAAATCTCCCTCTCGCTAGTCTACTGTGAAACTCATTTCTCCATCAATGGAAAGATTTTTGCCGAAACATTTCAAATCCAGCAACTAGTGGATTGAAAATACTGTTTTGGAATATTTGAGGTAATTTTGAAGACCCACTTTGTGGGTGTGAGGGTTTCTTTCAGAATACAGGCGTTAGTATGTTTGTCTTCCTGTTACATAGAATTTCACCTCAAACTATGTATATTGTTAAACATTGAATGTATTAAGGCCTTGACATATTATAATGATGATTTGGCCCACAAACGAAGAAGTGTTGGAATACTTACACTTATTTTTCTAACTAGTTACGTTTGCGTACGTCATCAAAGTTATCCATTTGTTTGGCTAATACTATCAAGGAAACATGTTGTTCCTTGAAGTTGCTTACTTGTGTTGCACAAATCTTTTCATTTAATTTGATCAGAGGTGAATTTTAAACTTCAAATGGGCGAGTAAAGAAAGAAGCCTCCCACCGAATATTGTCGTTAATAGGTTCAGAGCTTATCAAATTTCATGAAGTGATGATATAAGTGAAGAAAAATCCTGTTGAACAAAAAATGTTACGTCAGCGATCTTAAACTATAACTACAATCAAAACAATTAAAAGAAAAATATATTTTTAGCAAGAATAATGCCATGCTTCTCTAAGTAAGAAATGCATCAACTTGACATATTTTCAACTAGCTTAGTTGGCTATTCATTCCAACGATTTCCAATCAATAGAAAAAGTTCATCGTCATTTAATGGTTTTTAGTTTTTTGTCATACCATCTTGTTCTGCCTATAAGTTTTAAATCTAGTGACTGAGTTTGCCTGAACATCACATCGCTCAACCTTATTCTCTGTGAGATATTCTAAAACAACTCTACTTGTGTGTTTGCGGTCATTTTCATGTAGGAACACGCACCAGACTATATATTGTGTGAACTTTCCTTTTAAAGATAATGTGCATACCAAGCTATAACAAAACGGCTTCATCACCGTCAAGTAATCTAATTATCTATGTAATATTAATAATGGGGCTACTTTTTTGTCGACCCCTTGTACATTTCGTCATTGGTAAACGATGTGGTCTATTTTAGTCTTGTACAGTTAAACAATCTTTCGAAAGCTGCTCTTTCGGGTACATTTGTGTTTATTTCAACAAAAAGTCTCAGCAACCTTAGCAAACACGCGCATAGAGTTTCTAGTTACCGTTTCAGTTACTCAAGGAAGTAACGAGTACATGCGTATATAACTATGATTACTTAAAACGAAGCTACTTCTTGTACTGATACGAAACTTCAATGTTATAATTTCAACTGATAAAATTTTAGCCGGAATATATCATTATTAAGTTGACTGCTACGATTTCAAGCTCAAGTATAAGTAATGACGTTACACCTTCTAAAAATAGTAATTGCTTAGTAATGAGAACAATTGGAATTGTTTAGGAAATAAATGAGGTATGAACAAACCATAAGCACACCATGCAATCGTTTATTTACCCCCTACTAACAAAAGAGACAATATAGAATAATTAGCCAAAAATTCGTTTAATGATAAATGTAGATTTGCAACTTCCTCACCGCTGGTCACGTCTAAACGTGTAACATTTTTTTGTTTCTAGTTTCAACAATAACCAAATTCGAAACATTTTGTCATTACACGCGCTCTACAATTGGCTGTCCTAATGACTTGGTCATCAATATAACATCAGCATTCTGGGGAAGGCGTGATAAAAAATTATGTGTGTACATCATTGTTTTACCATGTGGAGAGAAAGACATTCCAATTATCACTAAAAACTTAAAGAAGAAATGTGATGCTTATGGAAGTTGTGCTATCCATGCTTCTGAATCTGAGTCCTATCTAACCGATCCTTGTCCTACAATCCATAAATACTTGCAAGTGAATTATACATGCGTGAAAGGTAATATTCTTGAAGACTTTCTGCTCAATTTTTTACCAAGAATAACTGACGGGAATGACTCCACATTTTTGATCCCTATTTTATTTGTTTCTCGTCGTCACTTGTCCAACAGATTTATTATCATCCCCTAGCAGTATTTATATTGATTAACAAACGCAACATTATTATTGATATTCTTTTTTTGATATGATATTTTGATAGGTCATTCAAGAAAATATCCTTTATCTGGTTGGAAAAATTTTGAACATGACAAAAATCTTTACTATCGTTTAATTGACACTCCACGAACATGGCATAATGCTAGGAAGTTATGTAGAGAGTATGGTGCTGAACTTCTTTCAATCAAAAATCAGTAAGTTATCTTGAAAATTTAAAAATAAAGTTAAAATTGCTCTTTGAGCGTTGACAACACGTGCAAAGCCCATAAAGTATGTGCCAAAGTTAAACATGAGAGAAATTATGTTTTTGAAATTTCCTATAAATATATAGATTCGAGCAGTCTGCTGTGACAAGTCTCATGGAGAGAACATGGTATGAAAAAGTTTGGATTGGTTTGAATGATATTACTGGTCGGGGTGTTTATGGATGGTCAGACGGTTCTGAAGTTTCTTGGACCAATTGGTATGTTGGTCAACCTGATGAAAGGCTCCTTCGAAGTAGTTGTGTATCAATGAGTCTACATCGTGGAAAGCGAGGCTGGATGTTTTGGAGTGATGAAAATTGTACAAAAGAATATCCATTTGTATGTAAAAAGAGTTTTAGTAAGTGATTGATATAAAATTCCCTTAAGGTGAGCCCTGCTTAAAAAGTATAATAATGATGATGATATGTTTGTACTTTTGCAGAACCAGTGATAAAGCCGACGCCTACAAAAAAACCGAGTAAGTTTTATGATTACAAATGGGGCAAAGGGTTAAAACTCTCTCGAGTTACTTCGTTTTCTTTCGAAAATTATCACTGTCAAAATAGCATTCACTTTAATACTTTGATAGGTTATCCAGGAAAGTGTTATCCACATATTGGTTGGTTCACTAATGACAGATTACGATACTGCTATTTTTATAAATCAGGACTTAGGTAAATACTAAAATATGTGAAGTTATTTATGCATTTAGAGAGCGGTTTGATTCGTTTTCTTATTATTATTGGACGTTTTGACTTTAAAATAGCTCAAATAGTTTAAAGTTTTTGCTTTAAGCAATCTACGTATAAAAGGGACTAAGTTTGGATTTTTTTGTAAACCAAACTATTCATACTCGGTGAAAGGTTGAAAAATGACACAATATTTTACGAGATATGTAATGATTACTCTAGATTTTGTGTTCGTTGTCACGGAACAAGCAAAAGGCAAATATATTACTTTTAGTTTTATTAGACATTCATTGTTATCAAATTTATGTTATACAGGAAAAATTGGTTTGATGCTAATCTTTACTGCAAAAATTCACTATCTTCGACGCTTGTAAGTGTGTATAGCGCAGAAGAAAACGCTTTTGTCATGAAATTATCCAATGATTCCATGTGGATTGGTTTAGATTCGAAGGGTGTGTACCGAGGTAATGTCCAAGTTTTATATAAAAAGTGTGTTCTGCATGTGTTGGTATGATCTTATGGATTAATAGTTAAAACTTGGGAAAAATATTGCGCCTGCGTATTCTAGAAGTCTCGAGCAAGTGATTTTAACTCTAATCTCTGGATAAACTACTATTTAAACATCGAATTCAATGTTGTAGGCAGCATTTGGTTGTGCTATGTGTAAATTTTAATGTGTTCATTCAGTATATAAAAGCAATGAGTTTCTAAAGGAATACATAACCGTAATGATCTGAAAATTACATAGCAGGACTAAAACTTGTAGGCTGGCTGCGCTTGCGGGCTGGCTACGCCACTGATGTAATGTGATGTTTATTTTCTGTAAATTCATGGCTCATTCAATTAAAAGCTTTGCTAATATGAAGAAAATACATGAAGAAACAAGACATGTTTTGTTTTGATATGAATACTGTCATTCAATCATATGTAGAAATTAAAGTTCCTAGCTTGGGAAAATAACATCTTGAGAACATTTGCAATATATTTGATGAGTGGAAAAGTTTACCTTCAAAGACTTGTTGGGTCTAGAAGTAACCGCCGGAAGTGACGTAAAAAGGAGAAAACACAGTTCTACTTTTTGTACGTTTTCTTTGAGCATTCGCTCAAACGATGTCGTCAAACTATACACCTCTTGTCGTTGTTATTCAGCAGTATGAAATATAACTTAAATCGACTTTATAAAAGTGCTTCTCTTCACCAATGTTATGGCACTTTCTTCTACGTAATGAAAAAAGCGTTGTTGCAGAAATTAATGCATGTTTCAAACGTCGTACTTTACATGCACCGAGCGTATTAAAGACAAAAGAAAATGTGATGAACGTCCTCGTTATCTTTTGTTTTAAATGCGTTTGACTTATGTAAAGCTCGACGTTTGAAACGGGCCTAACAAAACCTGAAATACAAGTTAATAATAAATACACAACTAGTTTTTTCTTTAATTTTTGTGCTGTTTGTAGGCTATATTTGGGCGAAGGGAGGACCGGTGAAATATACAAACTGGGAAATTGGTCAACCTGACACTTACAACGGTCTTGAAGCATGCGTTGAAATTAATCCTGACACTGGAACTTGGTCTGATAGGGATTGTCGTGAAACTAAAAACTTTGTTTGTATGAAAGAAAAAAGTAAGGAAGTCTTGCGTATGTTTTGTTGTATTACTATTTGATAATCTGTTTTATTAGAATAATAATCAAAAAGTAAAGCAGAGTATTAGCAAGTGCACACTTTACATTGTTTTCTATCTTGTAAGGAAAAATCACACCAACAGCATCACAAAACGTTTATCCGACACCAGGTATCCAATAAACTATATATTGAAGTTACATCAAGTAACGATATATTTGATAATATTACATTTTATGTTTATTTTTATTTATTAGGTTCAACACTTTGTCGTCAAGGCTGGACTCTGTTCAATGGAATGTGTTATATTGTTGGTAATCAAACGTCGAGTGAATATATCTCGTGGTTTGAAGCTGAAGAACGATGCAAAAAACTGGGAAATGGAGGGCATCTGGTTAGCATTCATAATAAAGATGAAGGGAATTTTTTGAAATTCTTGAGGTACGCAACTCATAATGTTATACGTAGATTTTTTGCTCACTGCTATAGAGTGTCAATAAATGCATGGTGTCTGCATGCATTCTATTATGTTTCTCGCAGTCAGTGTAATTTTCTAATCGTTCTAAGACGCGCAACAAAGGAGGACTATAAACTTAACCAAAACAAAATGTTGTTGCTTGGTGTAATACTGTAATAGTTTAGTGATCACGTGCGCATGCTAAAGGTCGACATATCAAATATGCAGTAACCTGCAAAGCACATTGTTTATGCTATGGTTTACTAAGTAAATATGCAGTAACCGTTATTTACCTGCAAGATACACTATTTATGCTATGGTTTACACTAAGTAAACATGTAGTAGCCGTTATTTACCTGCAAGATACACTATTTATGCTATGGTTTACTAAGTAAACATGCAGTAACCGTTATTTACCGGCAAGATACACTATTTATGCTATGGTTTACTAAGTAAACATGCAGTAACCGTTATTTACCGGCAAGATACACTATTTATGTTATCCAGTAAATATGCAGTACCGTTAAAAACATACAATGCACACTATTTATGCTTTGGTTTACTAAAAACGGGATAGGAAAAACAGTAGAGCTACCAACTTCTGGATTGGCTTGAATGATGTCGGTACTGAGGCTCATTACCAGTGGACAGATGGCTCAAATTATGATTATGTAAACTGGAACTCAAGAGAACCGAATGACTTCCACCGACAAGAAAACTGCATTCACACATTCATCTATAATGCAGCATGGAATGATAATCATTGTCAAAGAAAATTTTCTTACATATGCAAAGCCTACAACGGTGCATAAAGTTACATTTTTGATTTTTACATTGAAGGTTAATGCTATTGCTTAGTGTTTATTTTTTCTTGTTAGAATCTTACAAACCTCCTATACAGCCAACTGAAGTCCCAAGGCCGGGTAAAGGTAATATATCGTCACTCGTATTTTCTAACAAACTCTAGACATTGTTTACTCCAAAGAAAAGCGCATCTTTTATGTTCGCTTTTACAAGTGTGTTGACATTTGTTTTTCTTTTTTCGATTAATTAGTGATGCGCTATCCATGTAATATACATATCAATGACCAGAACTAGGTTGCGTTATCCAGTCTTTATTTATATCAGTGCTCTAATACTGTTATATTAATGCCTACACTACTTAATACCAGATTAATACCCTTTAGAATTTTTTTCGTGGGGGGGAGTGAGATAGAGAATTTCGAGGGTACCGGTGTACACCCAGCAGTTCTCTAGAAAATCTGCCACTTGTAAACCATCTGACTTATTATCAATATTTTTAAAATGGGAATGGAAAGTTTTACATCACCAACTGTAATTTTGTAACGTTAGTCAGGGTCGTTGACCCACCTCGTTTGCTGGTCGTAATATCTTCTGAAGAATGTTTTATGCAGTGCGGTGTTTGAAATTAAATGAAGATATGATCTTCGCACTTTGCTGGACAATTTAAGCAATTGTCTCATGAACCTGAAAAATTCAGGTGACTCAACGGGATTCGAACCCATGACCTCTGCGGTGCCGGTGCAGTGCTCTGACCAACTGAGCTATGAAGTCACACAGTGGTGAACAGGTCAATTTTGTTGGGCTCATATCTTCATTTAATTTCAAACACCGCACTGCATAAAACATTCTTCATATGACATTCCTTTCACGAGAAAACATGAGCCCAACAAAATTGACCTGCTCACCACTGTGTGACTTCATAGCTCAGTTGGTCAGAGCACTGCGCCGGCACCGCAGAGGTCATGGGTTCGAATCCCGTTGAGTCACCTGAATTTTTCAGGTTCATGAGACAATTCTTAAATTGTCCAGCAAAGTGTGAAGATCATATCTTCATTTAACGTAATATCTTCGTTAACGTTGTGTGGAACATACAACAGTTCTTATTACGCGCGCGCTATTTTACATGATTCCTTAAATGCCTGCAAGATTTTTATCCATAATGTTTTATACTTAGATGAGTATTGTCCTGATGGTTGGGTGGCTCATGCGCAGTATTGTTATGAATTTCATACTGATCCACGTGAATACAGAACATGGGATGAGGCCAGAGATGCTTGTGAACTTGGTCACAATTCAAGTGCTTATGGAGAGTTAGTCAGTATTCATGACGAGTAAGTATTTTCCTTATTTCCTTCACCATATTTCTTAATTTTCGTCATTGCCTCATTTTATCACTTTATGTTTGAAACAGCCGACGAAAGGCTAATCGCCTGGGTAATACTGCTGATTTGTACAGGCCTGCTCTTTTAGGCAAGCCTTTTACATTACCTCTAGTATAGAAATGAACAAATGCAGCTCAAAAAATTAAAACAATTTTAAAAATACAACGATTAAAGCAATATATGTGGGAAAATAATCCAAGTGAGGAACATACTATTGTCACTCGCTTAAAAGGATAAATATCATTTTATTTCAATTAATGTCACCACTTTATGATTATCCGTTGAAATATAGAATTCGGCGGTCGTTGTCACTCCATCCTAAATAAAATATTAATATTTTTTGAACTGCTTTTATATGTACACATTTATTTTCATCTTTCTCTACTCCCGTGACGTGTGGCTCATTTTTAAATGCGTTAAAAACTTATGTCTTTTGAAACTAAAAGCAGAATTGAGTACTTATAGCTAGGGCTTTGCAAAGCCCTGGCTGTCTGGTTGTTTAGACATTCACAGTTTTGGAATGTGGTTATACCTTGAAGGGCACCCGAAGATTTAGCTTCGTAATGTTTATGATATATTGAATTTCATGTTTTTATACAATGAACAGACCTTTTACTCTGACAAAATGCAGTTAAAATAAGAAAGCCAAATTAAAATAACTAAAACATCAACTATTATATGCGTCATCACATAGTGAATTTGTATCACCCACAACCTTTAATAGCTTTCAATTAAAGCCCAACTTATAAGTAGAATTATAAAAGCAGTAAGTCGTCGCTCAAAGTCGCTTTATATAAAGCTAGTAGTGTTATGAAATAGTGAAGTCAATAATCGAATGAATGTCAACATTTTGATCTTATGTTTTTTTACAAGCTAAAACATTTGCGAGCATTTCAAACATATTTTTTGTTCTTTTGAGATTTTTATTTAACGTTGACAAACCGTACATTCATGACTAAATGTCATGTTTAAAATATTATATGTATGATGTAGCTATTTAGACGTCACTGAAATGATCAAACAGGAACAAATTAATTTTATTGGATTTAACAAATTAACTTTATCGCTCTAAACAATTCATAACTATATAATGGACTTTGTTTGCTGAAAACATTTTTTGTAATTTTATTACGTCACAACATCTTGTTCAATTATATGTTTTGAAAAATCCTGCCTTCGTTTGAGTTCTCATTTTCCTTGTAGTAAGTGACAAGATTTAAATTATTGCGTATTTTATAGATTTGAAGAGGCGTTTATAACGACCAGATTGAAAGGAGCAAAGCAATGGCTATGGATTGGATTAACCAATAAATTTTCTGCATACTTATGGTCAGATGATTCACCTACTAACTATTTTAAGTGGAATACACGTGAGCCAAGAGGATGGTCCAAATGTGTTGAAATTGTTCCGTATCGTTGGGCTGCTGGACGATGGAACGCGGCCAGTTGTTTTAAAAAGAATGGATATATATGTAAAAAGGGTAAGTCTTTTTCTTGCATTGCGAAATACATCATTTTATAAGAATAATGATGATGAAGTTCGTTAGGTATTTCAAATAAACAAGATTACATTTTTTTACCTTTGATTTTAGTTGCCACAAAGACACCGGTGAATTCAACAATTACTCCTAAAGGTAAGTAATAATTATCAATAATATAGTAACATATAATTATACGGACACTCTGTTAAATAAAACCTGTTGAGAATATTATATATTTGTGATCGAATTGTGCTCAAAAGATCTCGATTACGTATTTCCAGAGTATTTTACTGGCATATGAACTATCTAGGTACGAAGTAAAAACTATGCTATAATTCATAGCAGTGAACTCATTTTTATGTTTGATTTTTTTAGAAAAAAAATGTAAAATTGGTTACAAAAGTTACGATGAATCTTGTTATAAATTTGTAAATGCAAAGAAAACATTTGACGATGCGAGAAAATTCTGTAAAGAGGAGGAGGAGATCTAATGATAATTAATGATCAGTTTAAACAAGGTACAAATGTCAAATGTACATATGGGATTTATAGGCCCGTTGCATGTATATTTGCTTTGTGTGTACTAAGTTTATGAAATATGTTCTTTGCCTTGCTTTTTGCGTTGATCTTTGTCTTGTTCTTTATTTGTGTTATTTATATGAATTCTTATTTACTATAAAACTTATTATAAAAATATGGTTAATTTCTACATAGGTTGTTTTAAGGTTTTTTCGGTGTTGATTTCTTCATCCCATGTTTATTTTTAGCTTATCTTATTTACTTGTTGGAAAGATTTGTTGGTGATGTCTGGATTGGTTACATTCACGAACCTTACTCTGTGTTTAAATTTGTGGATAACAGTTTGACAGCTCACACATACTGGGGTCCAGGTCAACCGAGTCGTCGGCTTGAGCAACGATCATGTGTACAGGCAAATGTTACAAGATCTGTCGTAGGCTTCTGGGATGATGTTGACTGTAGCTCTAGTAATTCCTTTGTTTGTGAAATCTACAATGGTAAGTTTCTCGTGCACCCATGTGAAAACATTTACCATGTCAATAAAACTTTTTTCTCATTAATTTTCTTAATTATTATATCATGTAACTTTTACTTTATAAATTTGTCGGTAGAAGTTTTCATATGTTGTTATTGTTGTTATTGTCGTCCTTGTTGTTTTTCTTGCTGTTGCAGTTATTGTGGTAGTTGTAGCGAGAGACTTGCCGAGCGGAAATCGAATACGTGTGATAAAAATCAATGCCCAACATAAAGTTCTGATTAGAGCCATAGAAATAGACCAAAAAAAAACAAACTGTGAAATTTAAATTTATTGTGACGTTTCGTCTTTACTCTAGACATCTTCAGACAAATAATAAATAGGACGTTAAGACGTTAGGTATTATATTTACAAAAAGGTGTTAAATTACTAGGTGCTAATTTCTCTTCATTTCACTTCCAAACTTCCTTATCATGTATCCATTCGACACCGCTTCCTTTAGTAGTAATTTAACACCTTTTTGTAAATATAATACCTTGTCTTAACGTCCTATTTATTAATTTGTTTTTTTTTGGTCTATTTCTATGGCTCTAATCAGAACTTTATGTTGGGCATTGATTTTTATCACACGTATTTTGGTAGTTGTTATTGCTGCTGCTGTTGTTTTTTTATAAGCATGAAAAGATTCATGCAGTCTAGAGGCTCAGACAACGCAGAGAGCTCATTTTTTAACCCTTTTGTGCGTTTTATTTGAAATTTGTGTGAATTTCAATTTAAATTTCTATTATTTTCAGGGGATCCGAAAGTTACTGTTCCAAGTAAGTATAAATCAACGAACTGCCAACAAACAGCAGTGCAAGTTATTCTGTAAAATATTTACTTTCGAAAGTTGAATATGGCGGAATTTTTCTCATAAATGCTTTGAATATTATCGTACTTTTGCCGAGCTTGCTAGGTTTGGAGTTTTGAATTTGTGTTAGTAGAATGTATCTGTCGTATGCTTCCGCAGTCTCTTCGTGTTTTGTCCGTCTACGTGGGTCACACGTGCAGTTAGTTCGTATTTTGTCAATCTACGTGGATCACACGTGCAGTTAGTTCGTGTTTTGTCAATCTACGTGGATCACACGTGCAGTTAGTTCGTGTTTTGTCAATCTACGTGGATCACACGTGCAGTTAATTCGTGTTTTGTTAGTCTACGGGATCACACGTGCAGTTAGTTCATGTTTAAAAATTTTTCATAGATTTTTGTCAAAGCGTGCCTACAACGAGAAAGTGTAGCCGTGGCGTTGAACTTGACATTTTAATGTACAGAGAAAGCGATAAGTCATTTTTTTCCATGAATTATTTTTTAATGAATGATATAACAGCGGCATAATTCACGTTATCGAAAAGTACGTCAATCTCAAGACATTGTTTGAAAACCATTTTAAAACAAAGAACACGTGCCTAAAATTGCTTTTATAGAAACTACACATTTTTCAGAAAAATAGTTTAGTAACTTGCCAATTATGTCACCGTGACATTGTGGCCAAAAAATTATTTTAGCTTTATGGTTTTCAGTGCAATTTGGAGAAAAAATCATGCATGAATTATCTTTTTTGTGTCTGATACGAATTCAACTATTTTCAATGCACAAACGCATACTTTAGTAGACGATACTTGCGTAGAGTAGACGAGACAAAATATCACAATCTCCCTGATACTTTTTTAAAGACTTCTACTCTTATTACAGTCACAATTTTGGGGCAACAAATTTTATGAGAAATAAAATGTGATAAAACGTTAATTGAAACTTTAATGATGTTGTAACTTCTCTTGTTTTTTTTTGTTTAGTAAATGGAACATGTCCTGATGGGTGGAAATTCTACTATAAACATTGCTATAAATATTTTGCAAGATATCTCTCCTGGTCACAAGCCCAGTTTACCTGTTCTAAATACAGCGCCAACCTCATTAGCATACACGATGACAGAGAACAAGATTTTTTGATTTACTTTTTTCAGAGTGTGCATCCCCGAATGATCTGGACAGGTAGGAAAATGAATTGAAGTTAAACATTACCAAGGTTTATTACAAGCTGCTTGAACGATAAAACAGTTTTATTTTATTTTGTTTCATTTCGTTACTGTTTTACTATGGAAAAAGCAAGTATATATTTTCGAATTTACACTTGGTTGGTACTCATTTCATTTTAAGCATTGAAATGCGCAAGTTTTCAACTTACTATCCGATTAAATTTTGCAAAAAATATGAACTTTTGATGAGTAATATTCTTAAATACTGATGTTAACATTGTTAAAATTTTATTTTGGTTTTATATTTTTGTCAATTCTCAAAGCAAAATTTGCCACGAAGCCAGTTGTTTGGGGAAAGGGTGAGCCTTAAGAATTAGGTTTTACTCCAAAGGCAACGTTTTTATAAGAAATATATCATGTTTATTTCTACTTTTATATCTAATTCATGATTTGTTCTTTGCTGTACAATGTTGTTAGTGCTTTTTTGAAGGTTTAAATGACCGTGCAGTAGAACGAGGCTACGAATGGATTGATAACACTCCGTTAGATTACATTAACTGGATGTATAACGAACCAAATGATTACTCACAATCCGAAAATTGTGTGGAAATGCAGACAAGATCTGGTCAGTGGAACGACCTGAGATGCTATTATCGTCGCCACTTTATGTGCAAAAAAAAATTAGGTAGGCCTAATAGTAGAATTTGTTGGGCATCATTGTTTCTAAATGCCGTCAGCATGATGCAATTGCAAAAAAAGAGTCGATTGAAAGTTTTATTTTTCAACATTTTGTTTCGAACGTGTTGCATTATTAAATCCAATTATTATGTGGCAAGCGTCACTTCTGGTGAAATAACGCGCTTTGATTGGCTCAGAAACATTTTTGCCGGTCCATTACGCGTAATAAATGTAAACAAACTTCGTGAACGCGTTTTGTAAAAACATAAAAATAAAGAAGAAAAAATCAGGCACGAATGTGCGTCAAAGGAACAAAACTCGAATGGTGAGATTAGTTATCCAGACGACACAATTTCAAACGATTTATGTTTTACTGACGAAAACTGTAGACAAGTGAAAGCCAGTTTTTGGAAAACAGCAAGGATGAGAAAAGAAAGAAAGCTTCGTTTCAGGTCAAATAATTCCATACAATAAACCTTTTATTTACCTTGCTTCCTCAGTCCTTTTTAAAGAATATCGTACTCGGTCTGTACAAAAACTTCGGTCCGATATTTCTCCGTAAAGACCTCGGGCTCCGGTAATCGCGCTTACGAACGATTCTAGAAATGACATATGAATTAGCAAATCATAACCATTGTAACACACTAAATATAATTTTGTGAGAATATGTAATGAAAGTTGTAACATTCCCCTTTTTCATTGTGTTATTTACATATCCCTTCAATGATCACAATAATTTTTATGTCCAAATTACCTTTTAAATTTCAATGACTCCTTTTACATTTCAGAATGTTCTGGAGATATTCCCATCGATACCTCGATGGTCACTGTAACAGATACTCGTAATTCCACCACAATGGGTGCTGACAAGGCAATTTTTACTAATGAAAATGATGGTCATACTTGGTGTACTAACAACACAAGTGGAAATTCCAAAATCATGGTAATTTTTTTGTAAAATTACTTTAAATAATATTCATATTTGTTAAATGTTACCCTTCATTGTTTTATTATTACCACAATTCATCTGTTTTAAGTAATTTATACATGCAAATAATACATTTTCATTTTTCAATGATTATTAAACAATATGGTTTTTGAAACATTCAAGGTGACACATGTTGCATGATGTAATTAATGGATATGATCAAAATAAATGCAAATAAATGTATAAATCAAGGATCAATGAGATTTCTAAACAGTTTTTTGGAAATCATTAAATCAATTGTCATCATTTAATGAAGCCATTATTTGATGAATTAAGCTATAGAGAATTTTGGGAATTTATGAACGAGCACTCTAAAGAAATACAAAGTACTGCTCTTTGTTTCGTTGATTACTGAATACTCTAATATTGATTCCTACTGCCAACTATCTTGATTTAACAAAATGTCTTGACGAAAAAAATTGTTATCAGAGTTTATTTTACCCTTAATTACGAGAAATTGAGGAAAATGCTCATACCACAATTCATTCTTGAAGGAGTCGTTATTTAAAATAAGAAGTGATCGTAAAGAACACTAAATGAAGTTGTCGAATTACGTCATCATTTTAGTTCTGCCAAAACTTACGTCATCATTTTAGTTCTGCGAGGCTTTTGATTTAAGAACACAACTTCAACTCCTTTACGGAGGATATGAAAATTCAGCTTCTTTTTTCTTGTAGATCGATTTGAATAATTTATACCAGGTGACCGGTATTACTGTCGCAGGATTTAAAAATAAGTTCGTCAAAGAATTTCGCTTGGAGTATGAACATGATGAACATTGGCGTGTGTACTATCCTTTAAAAAACTTTCAAGCTGTAAGTTCAATTTCTATGTGTGTGTTATCAGAAAGTTGAAAGCGCAATGCATAAAACAACTGCTTATTTCAGCTGATCCAATTGTTTTCACCAAATCCATCGAAAAAAGAATTTAAATTTCCATTCAAAGCTGATGGATTAAAAATCACTCCTGTCACGTGGTCTGGAGAGACATTTGCATGAAAGTAAAACTACACGGATGTTCTTACGGTAGGAGAAGTTCAACTTGATTTACTGTTGTTCATTTTACTTCATCATGTATTGAAAAAAATTATTAAAAATTTTTTCTATCAAACTAACTTACTGTACTTGTTTAGTATGTCAAAGGCAGCTGTTTTTTTCAAGCCCATCAAGAATAAAAGATTATATGATATCTGCTTCATCAGCAAAATATCCAAAATATGAGCCAAAACAGACTGCAATAGAAGGTCATGCTTGGTGTTCAGTGGTATGAATATTTAGGCATATTGTTGAAGATGAAAAAGTACAAATTTAATGAAATGAACAGTTTGTAGCCATTTACATGTTTCTATCGTGTACATACTAACTCATGATGATTTTTCATAATGGGCTTCCACGTTGAAATAATAAGACGGTTTTTCAAACATAGTCATTTAGTTTGCTTTACATATTTATTATAAATTACGTTCTATATGTGTAGAAAAACGACAAAAAACAATGGATTCAGTTCAAATTTCCAAGAGAAAGCAAAGTTTCAACAATTCTAACATTTGGTGACAGGAGAAAAAGTTATGTGAAATCATATTACATGCAGTTCAGCGACGATGGAGAAAATTGGAGCAATTATGTACAACATGGAACAACTAGGGTAAGTGACGCAATTTGGTTTTATCTCTTATAGATTTTTGTGAACTTATGAACAAGTCACTTTGTTATTGAAAATTTTACAATCAATGGATGTTCTCAAATTGTCGTTGGGCAGTCGTTATCAATGAATTTGAAATTTCAAAGTATGTTTGCCTTGTAATCTTACAATGCCCATTTGTAATTATTTACTAATTACTTGAGCTGTCAAATGTAAGAGATTGTATAAATCACGCGTGACTGACACCTGATTAATAAGTCCTTGAAACAATTCAAAATTTTTTTTCAATCGTTTTACGCGTGATTGTCACTAAGGAAACGTCAAATGAAACATGATAAACATAATTTATTGTCAAAGCTATGTGAGATTGCATTGACGTTAATTTTGTTGTGATATTTGGCAACTGTTATCATACGCAAAAATAACCAAACACTGTTCTCGACAAGTGAACGAAGTGAACGCCTAACAGGCGTCTTGTTCGTGCATAATTACTATGTAAATTTCTCCAATCATGGTACATGATAGATATTTCAAGGAAACAACGACGCCAACAGTCCAGTTCGACATACTTTGGCAAATGAAATTGAAGCAACATATGTTAGAGTTTTACCTGTCTCATGGAAACATAATATATGTATGAGAATTTCTTTACTTGGATGTTACGCAGGTGAGTTAAATATGTATAATTTATTGAAGGGCTGAGAGATGTAGATGGAAACTATTTTTCAGAGGGGGGGGTATTAAAAAGAGTTCACGGAACATGTAAATTACGTATTTAATTTTTAACTAAGTTTTATTGTATTTACCAACTCCGACAAAAAACAGTCTAGACTTTTCTTATTCATTTAACTATGGAAAAGTCTGTATGTAACTATTAATGATAACTAATAGATATATATAAAAAACTCGCGTATTTTTTAAGCACGTTATTTGTATTTTTTCTTAATTTGAATCTAGCTATCAATTGTAAAACCAAATAAAGCAGCCTGGTAATGATATCAATGATTAAAAGAAAACAAATAAATAAAAAAATGAGATTTGTGGTATATAATGAAAGCATCACTAGTTAGTGGATAAGACTCCTTTTGATCAACTTTGTGCATCTAACGCTTTTTATAAAATGTTTTTTAGATTGCAGTAAACCCTTACTGGCATCTGGTAGAGCTGTGAATCCTCAATTTGACTCTTCAGTTCAAAATTCTCATCCTGAGTATGCTTTATTCAATACTGGTAAAGCTTGGTGCACGGGGAACACTCCAAATGAATATCTTCAGGTAGCTACGTAGTTTCCTTAGGGAAAATGTGAAAACTGGAATGAGTGATATTTTATCATAAAACTTTGTAGCTAAAATTCTTTGTGTTGTGGTCTCTGTCAGTTTTGTACAACGGACAAAATCAACTCAAATGTAAATTTCGGATTTCGTGCTGTTTTTTCTAGATCAAATTTGGCGAGCCTTATATTTTATACAAGATAGCGACATTGCCAAGCCCAGTTGGTTATCACAATGAAAGTGGACTGTCACAATATACTTTGAAAGTACGGAAAGGAGGGAGTTATTTTGTTTATGGACCAAGAGGTAAAGCAAAGGTAAATTAACAAGTGCGTTTTTATCATTGTATTTTAAGGGAATATTTTTTTTATTTGCGCTACCTTCGTTTGTGAGAGAGAATATGTTATGTTCTAGCCTGGACAATGTTTGGTTTCAAGATACTTGGAGGCAAATTTACTACAAGAATTTTTGCAAATGTTTAGTAAATAATAAAGTTGTCATTATACAAACCTCCAAAAATGCTCTGGCTTTGCGGATAGTATTTTTACAATTTTGATGTATGAATCAATTACATTCAGATTTTCGTCGCCATAAATGAAAATGATCCGTCAAGGCCCATGATTCATGATATTACGGACTTTATGCGGCAAAGAAGCGGTTTGAGGACAAAAGCCATACGAATTTATCCGCAAACAAATGATGGGTCATCAGCATGTATAAGAGTAGAGCTTTATGGCTGCCTATCAGGTTTGTTCATATTTTTGTATAAGAGTAGAGCTTTATGGCTGCCTATCAGGTTTGTTAATATTTTTGTATAAGAGTACAGCTTTATGACTGCCTATCAGGTTTGTTAATATTTTTGTATAAGAGTACAGCTTTATGGCTGCCTATCAGGTTTGTTAATATTTTTGTATAAGAGTAGAGCTTTATGGCTGCCTATCAGGTTCGTTAATATTTTTGTATAAGAGTAGAGCTTTATGGCTGCCTATCAGGTTTGTTAATATTTTTGTATAAGAGTACAGCTTTATGGCTGCCTATCAGGTTTGTTAATATTTTTGTATAAGAGTAGAGCTTTATGGCTGCCTATCAGGTTCGTTAATATTTTTGTATAAGAGTAGAGCTTTATGGCTGCCTATCAGGTTCGTTAATATTTTTGTATAAGAGTAGAGCTTTATGGCTGCCTATCAGGTTCGTTAATATTTTTGTATAAGAGTAGAGCTTTATGGCTGCCAGGTTTGTTAAAGCTATTACATATCCTGCATTATGGCTGAAAACACTGGGAAAAGGTTTTTTATTACACATCTACATGATGCCAGTTTCAAGAATCTCAAATGTTGTTGAACAAATATTTCATTTATGATTCATAATTCAAATCGTAGTATTTTTCCTTTGTAATTTGTAAACTGTCTTTGCAATGCTGTGTTTTTAGACAATGCTTTCTTTTAATTTGTTAACTGTACCATTGAATAACTTTTGCATTTTGTTTTCTTTAAAATTTAGGCGTTGAAATTCTTCCCACCACTCCCCCTACGACACGTGAGTTAAACCGTTTGCTTCTCTCCATTTATATCCACAGAAGTTGATTCATGCAATAAGATTTTGTATGGCTTGATTTTTCAATATCAATGATTAACAACATTTATAATGTACAATGTTGCTTGCTAAGCTCGAATTGCAACATCGCACCTTTATTTATGTGACTGTGACTTCAAACTACATCTTTTTAACACCATATGCAAGCCTTAACATGACACTTTTGTAGCACTTTTTTAGATCGAGTATCATGACATCAGAACTGTGCCAGCGGCTCATTTTTTATGTCTATATTTTTTATGGAATACTTACAACGAGTACTTACTAAATTAGAAATAATTTGAATGACAAGCGCAACTCTTTTGCATGAAAAAGATTTTTTACCAGATTTGTGTACACATTGCAATTGCTGGTTGAATTTCGTACTTTTTAGCAGTTTCATTCAGAATTCGCTCTAATTTTTTCCAATCATTTTTACAAAGATAATTAACTTATTTTTACAGAAAAAGTTGTCAATGTATCATTACGTTTTACCAGTTTGATATGGAATGATAAATTGAGTGATCCAAAGTCGGAAGAGTTTATTGAAACAAGCAAATTAATTATAAAAGCGGTAAGAAATCCAATTAGCTATAATTTATAATTATTTAAAGTTAAGTTTGGTTATTTTTTTTGTATTGATTAGTCCCATTAAACATATTCTCTGTTGTTTTAGATTGAAAGTGTTTTTACAGAAAGTGAATCATTTCGGAATGCCAAAGTCCTAAAATTTATGTATGTTACAATGCATAAATTTGGGTTTTTTAAGATTGATTTATGCTCATCATACTATATACATATTGTCAGAGTCATTATTTATTTGTTGAAATGAGAAACATTTTTAGTGATTATGGCAAAATGTTTTATAATTGCTATGGAAAGACCCGAATAAATGTTTAGTAAAATTTCAGAGTGCATCATTTTTCATTTTGATAAAAATATTTACTCATGAACAAATCAAGTGTAGAAAGGTATTGAAAATTGTGTATAACGGTACAAACTTGCATATTTTGCTGCAAGAAGTCGATGAAAATTGAAATGACGTCATAATGACATCATTAGCATGATTGAACGAAGTCAAATATTTTAATATTTTAAAAAGAAGTAAACCAACACAAGTAAAGTGAAGAGTATTTTGGTCATTTTTGATGTTATTTACAAAACAATCGAAAAACTATGTAGCTATTTTTTTTTGTCATGAACATGTCAAGTGACGAGCTTGTCACTCGTGAAACTTTGTTATATCCATTGGTTTTTCATGTTTTTTCTGATATATAAATGATATGGATCTGCACAAACAAACATTATAAATAATTGAAGGTTATTGTGTCAATGAAATTTCTCTACTGCAATAAATAAAAAACTTGTCTTTTTAGCTAATGTCTAGAATAAGAATAATGTTGTTTATCCTTTACTGGACTTGCCTTCCCGTATTTTATGTTGCTTTTCGTGATAATTAGCTCGATTATACAATTAATCATTCGCTGTAAACGTCTGAGTATGATGAAAGCGTTGCTCACTTTCAAATTGTAATATCTCTTTTTTCTATTTTAGCAAAGGAAGTGTTGTAGCAACAATTGAATTGGTGTTCAACCCAATCTTTGTTCAAGGTGATAATGCTACATCACTATTGGAAAGTGCCGTTCATAAAGGAAAAATTGGTAGCCTTAGGGTGGATCCAAAATTCTTTAATGGTATGTGTTTGGATCGTTCCATTAGCTATAACATTTACTGAAGCAAGTATGCATTAAAATAATGTTTAAGCCTCGTTTACACTAGCAACTTTTATTCAGCAATTTTTATTTGGCATAAAATCTCACTTGCCAGCTTTTCAAAAAATACATTTGTTACAGAAAAATTTTCAAATTTCTCTCGTTCTGTAGAGTAAATGAAAGTTGTCATATAGCTAAAAATTGTCAAACATGTGTAAACAAGGTTTTACTAAAAAGGCATAAATGCTTTAGAGCTTTAAATTATTATAATATTTAATTTTTACGCATTCATAGCTATATCAGATTGTCTTTAAAAATCACGACGCCAAATCAGAAGATTTCTACTCATAATAAAATTTAAAATTTCTTTCTTGTAGTAAAAACCCCAGAATCTTCTGCTAGAACAGGTAAGAGACCTAAAATTTACAGATTTTGCAACTTTTTTAACGAGATTTTTCATCTTATAGAGTCAGATTCTCGTTTGTCTGGAGGTATTATTGCTTTAATCGTGCTCATTTTACTTCTTGCTGTGGCGTTAATCTCTGCTCTTGCATTCTTTGTGTATCGACGTCGAAAGCAAAACACTTTTTTTGCACCAAAACATTTTGATAACCCAGTTTCTTTTTCATCGAAAGCTTGTGATATGGATGATTAAATGCTTTGGAGACATTTCTTAGAAGACATGCTCGTTCGACATACAGGAAACCATAAATTGACTTGAACATTTGGAGCAAGGGATTAAAACTTACATATTAGGCTCTCAAGAGCTATATACTCTTTTCTTATCGATATTCAAATGAAAAGCACTTATTTTTGCTAACCAATCACTTGGCACCTTCTGTTGAAAAGTTACTTGATCCTGTTAAAGAATGAACTATTCAGGATTGGCTTACAATTACTTTACAAAATGACAATACGTGTTTAGTACTTACAACATTAAACCAAACAAAAACAACGACAAAAAATTTAAGTGCTGGAGTTTAAATGGATTTTACTGAATAAAGTCTAAAAAGATGATAAAAAAGTTCCACAATATTTTTTCACTTAATCGAATAGTTCGTGAGAAATAAAGCTTAAGACATTAAAATTTTAAGAAATCCCCTTCCTGTTTGTGGAACTACAACTCAAAAGTCTCAATAATTACTTCAAAATCAATTTCTGTTTCTGCACCTAAGACCCATTTCAAACGTCCAATTTTGTATGCATTGTGAAAGAAAAAAATTTTGAGATGCTTGAAACTTAAGCTCGCTGCTGCCATATATAAGATGTTGGCGAACATTCTTTGAACGCCACATTTCCTAGAAGGGATGGTCGTATAAGCTCCTTATACCCACGCAATTGCGAATTGCGACGACAGTATTTCATCATGGAATCATCAATTCATTCATATCATTCCGTAAATTCTTTTGCTAAACCCTTATATATATATATTTATGTATAAGTTGATGCTAACTTTAGTAGTGGCGCTACTAGTTTGCTTATGACCAATCGAAACTAACATTGAATTACCAAATAGTAGCGGCCAATAAACTTTATGCATTTTCTGACCAATAGGAGCGCTGAGCTGGCTAACCGCGGCCAGTAATTTAATCAAATATACAGCAAGTTGCAGAGCGAAGTGAATCTAATGTTTATTTTCTATACTTTGGCGTAGCTGGAAGTCTTTTCTCCATTAAAAGCGGTCCTGCTTTTCCAGTAAGGTAAATCCTTTGTCTTGTCTTTTGCATGGGATGGTAATCTGATATCCTAAGATTATGTTTATTGGATTTGTCATCAATTACCAGAAGAATAGACGCCTATAACTTTATTATTAAAGGGGAAACAATTTTCTATTCCGCCATTAATAATTCAACGAATACAATTTTACTACTGTCCTATGTCATTGTTAAACTTTGCAAAACTATACGAAACGCTGGTCCCTATGGTAGTAAATTTATACCTAATTCACCATGTAGTACACATTTGACATCACAACAAGCATATTGCATATTGCCTCCATGATTTGATTAGTCGAATGAGCACTCCTGCGTATCTTATTTCATTTCATTTTGTGTTCGTGTGTTATCGTGGAAAGACGAGTACTTAATGTGGAAGAAAAACATTTTGTAAATGACGTTTCCTAAAGTATGGATTGCCATTTCTCTATTGACCTATGCATTCGTTGGTAAGTTAGTACAATAAAATGCGTCTTTCTTAGACATTTAGCAATGTACGAAACTCGAGCGTGTTCATCAACAAATTTACACAATGAAGTAAAACAAAAGTTTTATCTATTCACTATAATGCATGACTAAAAGCAAAATTGTGCAAAAGTTATCCGCATGTGCATGATAAACGAGCTTCCCGAATGATCATGTACAAAATTGTCCACCTATTTACTACGAATAGGAATAAATATTGTTTCGCGTAAACATTGTGAAGTTAAAGGTCAATTTTCACTCAAAGTATTGTGCCATCAGAATTACAATAATGACGCTTTTTTGCTGCTGTTATATAACATTCAATTACTAATTATGCTCATTCTACTGTATTTCATGCTTTGTAACATTTTTTGAGCATAAAAATACTTTTCTAATATTATTTCCCATAAGTGTATATTTAGCAAATATTTTAGTTGAAAATAAACGTCCTGTGGGGTAAAATAACAAGAGTATTTGAAGTAGGGTAAATCAACGAAAGTTTATTCTGAGTAAAATTTTGAAACACTTGCTCATAAGTCAAAATTGTTTTTGTCCATTATAGTATTAGTTGTTGCAGAATGTAAATGATAATGACGTGAGAAGAATATTACAAATTTCAACACTCTTTAGGAGGTGATCACAGTAATGCATTTATACACATCTGTTGGAAATTTGTATATTCATTTGTTCATGTGTATTGTCATATAAATTTGTCTATCATTATACTATTTTTAGGTTGTGTCTAAAATTACCAATTATACGATTATAAATAATGATTATCCTTATCAACATAATGTACGGATAAAGAAAGTAGCTATACTTCATCCAAAATAATTACGCTAATCGACTATTTTCGATATATAGGACAGCTATCTTCAAATGAATCCCCCAAAAAATGATGAACATGGAAGTTAAATTATTTTTTGTATGTTTAATTTCAAACTTACTATGAATAAAAGAGTTAAAAAGGTGAAAGCCAGCAGTGTCTGTATGAGTGTAAGAGTTTGCGTGAAGGATGGATTTACCCCCAACTATCATTTTGACATTATTTTCTTATTCGCCTTAAGCAATAACGCGGATGTCATACAAGTCCTTTAATTGCATTAAAAGATTTATAATTGCATGTTTACGCTCAAAAGATGAAATAGTGATGAGCTTTGTTCAAAACGCTCTATGGCAAAAAATTTAACAAGTTTAAAATTTTTGAAGAAATATAGATTTGAAATGATGTAGACTGAGTTTATGCAAACTCCAGAATTGAGGGGACATATATTCATATAAGCATGTTTAGCCGCTGTAGATTGATTTGCAATGCTCACTTTTTAGACACATGCACTTGAGCAAAAGTGTTTACGTAATGTTATGTAAGAAATAAAAAGATGGCGATCATGATTTGTTTGCTACTTGAAAGCATAATTTTTAGCTGCCTTTGTTTACACTTCCATGTGTCTCTGGAATTGGTAGCAAGGTTTAAGGTGTCCTAATTTTGTTAAAATTCTTAAACAATTAAGTTGATTAGTTGTTTTTCCAGTTATCGATCAACGCAAAAAAGCGTTTTCCAGCTAGTCTCACTACCACAATGAAGTTATGCTTCTCATTTTAATTAAATGCGTGACTTTGTTCGCGTTCTGTTTCTTTAACTATTAGGTTTGAAATCGATTGCAAAAATCATGAACCTCTCCTGTTTTAGCAAGTTTTACATACTGCAAAAACACTCTCAATTTACTAAGACATTTAAATGATATAAGCTATATGCAAATCGATATTTTTCCTTTTTTTTTGTCAGTGGCTACGAGTCAAGAATGCCCGAAAGGATGGAAAAAATTTGGAAATTCGTGCTACTTGTTTGCGTTACCAACTTTTCAATTCCGCCAGAAAACATGGGAAAACGCTAGATCACACTGTTTAGGCTATGGTGCAGATTTAGTCTCGATTCTTAACTCGACTGAAATGGATTTTCTGTACAATAATACATTTAAATATGGAGACCGTTGGTCAGCCCTGTATTGGATTGGTTTGTTCCGTAACAAGACAACTAGCAATCCAAAAGATGGATGGGAATGGAGTGATGGAAATAATTTTACCGAACTGAAGCTGTGGAAACCAGGAGAGCCAAATAACAACCAGACCAATGAGAATTGTGCTATATATCATGGTAAAACGAAAAATTGGAGGGATTGTAAATGCTCAGACAAGTTTGCTTACATTTGCAAAAGAAGTAAAGGTAGTTATTATGAGCATATTCTTTAGTCATTTCTCTGTTTGAGAAGTATAGCAAGATTTGAATACTAGCATAAAAAAGCGATGGTATTTACATCTGATGTAAATACCATCATATAAAAGCGATGGTAATTTTATTTTGCTTGAAATATTTTTCATGCAGGTCTTCCTCGTCCAACGACTCCAACACTTGGAACCATATCACCCACTAAAAGTAGGTATTCTATAAAATTTTTATAGGTTTTTAAGTTTCATTATGATTATGACAGCCCAACATGTAGTTCTTAATACACCTTGTACAATTACATGTGAGAAAACGTTTTTATATCGTTTCATAACAGGTCTTTCGATGTCCTAATTTATACAACCAGTGACGTCATATTGAATAATCACTATCTTCATTTTTATGTTACATGTTTGTAGATTTAGATCGTCCAGGTTGGGTTGGTATAGTCCTGAGAAGGACTGTTTTTTTGTTGTTGACTGACGTTTCGACAACCTTAGCGGTAATCATCTTCAGAGTAGTAGTCAATATATTTTTTTTTTTGACTCTGAAGATGACTACAGTTAAGGTTGTCGAAACGTCAGTCAACAACAACAAAAACAGTCCTTCTCAGGACTATACCAACCTGCATCTACAAACATGTAACGATACTCCCGGGTTCAAACCATTTACTTCATTTTTATGTGTCACGTCTGCTGTGCCGTAGCCACTTTGATTTTTTCAGGCTCCGCTACTGCCTCGTGCAACTTTGTTTCCTGCAACACTTATTTACATTAGTTATGGAAAACTTTTGAATACATAGAAAATCTGTTTTTCTCGGTTTTTCTTGAAAGGTGACTCTCTCTCGTGTGATGTTGAATGGATAGCATATAATCGATCTTGCTACAGATTTTTTGAAGCAAAAAGGATGTGGAAGGGGGCAAAAGATGCATGCGATTATAGTGGAGGGCATCTTGTTAAAATAGAGAACGCAGACGAACAACATTTCTTGGCTTTCATGGCGCGGGCAAAAAAAACGGTGATATTTCTTTTTCATGCTTTATATAGTAATGTTTAAATGCTTGTGAATGATTTATTTAATTACTGTTTTATAATCATGAAAAGTCATCTTTATGTCATGAACATGCGTTGTTTTGACTTTCTGATTGTAGTCATGATACACATTTCAGTTTCTGAATACAAATATTGGTCTAGCTTTTTAACGTATTATTAAACACATATAACATATATGACATGTCGTATGACGTATCAAATAGCATATATCTAACACGTACAAGATGACAAATAACACATATAGCTCATATAACCCCTCAATAAACCAACCTTACGGGGACTTTGAGAGTTCTAGAGGTGATTAAACTTTTAAAAATATCTGTGCTAACACCGCAAAAGTCAACATTCATTTTATTTCATAAAAAAAGCTTAAAGACAGGGATGAGTTAACCCACAGGATATAATGAATGAAAAACTCATTTTTATTAATACTGAATGAAAAAATTTAAAAAAATCATTAGGGCTATTTCGGAATTTTTCTACTTGGATTTTTCATCATCATATTTTTTTCATAATTTTATCGCATTTACATTTGCTTTACACGAGCGGGGACGTATTTCAAACGTATTTTGGTATTGGTTTTCAATTCGAAATGTAAATATTTCTATAGACTTTCCAAAATTTTTGTAGTCTTTCTGGATTGGTTTAACGAAACATAATAAAACTTCTCCTTGGCTGTGGGAATTTTTACCTAACGACATGTCTTCCTTTACAAACTGGCAACCCGGTCAACCAAATGGTTTGGGAACACAACTTTGTGTTGAGATGGACGGGTTTTTTCAACCCGGCTTATGGAATGATGCAAATTGTCATGGAACGAAGTCTTATATTTGTGAAAAAGAAGAAGGTTGGAGGAAAAAACTGTTGATTTTGTTTGAAAAAAAATTGTTTGTTTTACATGACGATTAGTAGCTAAAAAAATTTAATTTAATGATTTGTTAGAAAACCGTGATCATTGACAACGACTTGATCTTTGAAGTTTTGTTGAAACTAAAAACGTGATTTTTGCAAATATTCACTTTATTATTATTGCATTCTTCATAAACAAAGCTAGGCATAGTTTCGTTTGCTGCGATTATACGTATCTATGATTGGAATTGGGGTGTCGTTCATCCAAGATAGTTTTGATAACTTTGTTTGTATACAAAGTTGTAAACAAAGTTGTATACTTTGTAAACAAAGTTGTAAACAAAGTTGTATACTTTGTTTGTAACTTTGATTGTATACAGTTTTGATAACTTTGATAACTTTGATAACTTTGATAGTTTTGATAACTTTGTTTGTATACAAATGTTTTTGCGACTTTGCGTGATCCAGAAATACTTGCCTTTTGATGTTTTTCACGTCAGCCATGTTGGAGGTCTGATACGAAAGAATATTTTGTCAATGCTATGGTGGAGTTCAGCCGACCTGGGAGAATTTTATTGTTTAATAAAAATTGAAAAAGATTGGTTGAAAATCAATAATAGCTACGACATTCCTATTCTTAGGTCGCAACATATGTCCTGATGGTTGGATCCCTCACAATGATATTTGTTATCAGTTTAACATGTTTCCATCACAGAAAATGACGTGGTTTGACGCGGAAACTTCATGTAATGCAGTCGATCATTTCTCTTCTCTCGTTAAAATAAGCAGTCAAAGTGAACACGATTTTATACAAGGAATGGTGCACGTTTATAGCAGTTCAAATGTTTGGATTGGTCTTAATGATATAAAGAGAGAGAATGTTTTTGAATGGACTAGCGATAAGTCGATTTTGGATGTCAATGATTTCAAGATTTGGACGAATGGAAAACCAGTTGAAAACAAAGAAGAATTGGATTGTGTGGCAATTATGGGACTTAGAGTAGATGCTGCATGGACGGTTCAAAACTGCTCACAACTTCAAAACTATATTTGTATGAGACATAGAGGTAAGCAATTCATCATTTTTCTGTGATAAAATATTCTTCTTTTCGTCAATTTCACGAGAAATTTGACTCCAATGCCTAAATACTTGTACTCGTCATTAGTGTAGCCAGCTTCCAGAATTACTGTTACAACGTGTATAAATTTTGTTTCAATACCAAATCTGATTCCTTTAGATGTTTTGATTTTACATACGTGCGTGAACATGAAGATGTTTGCATAGCTAGAGTAAAAATCAGACTAACTTTATTGCTGTTGCTAAAGGCTCAACTCCCAAGCAATAATCTTTCACTGTCTTTTTATATTTTTGTAATGTTGTTTTATTTCATCTTTACGAAATTGACTGATTTACAAAATATGTCTTTTCAATAAGTATTCCTCCTAATCAGGTAGTTTTTCATTATTCATTTGCATTCTGTGTATTTAATATGTTCATTTTTTTATGAAGATCTGCTTTTTGGATGTATTGCATTCTTTTTTTGCAAGTAACTTGACGCGTTTCATTTATTGATCAAATCTCAATTTTGAATCTCTTTATAAAATGACCAGCCTTGATTGATATGATCAATTATATTGATATAGATTATACAATTACATTGTTCAAAGAAACTCAATTTTTGGTAAACCAAACTCACGTGGTATGATCACTACAATTGATCATAGTGTTGATTGGTGCATAAACTATAGTAATTGACAGATCTTATAGGATTAATTAGCTACAGTGATGTAAAAATAAAACTTTGATAACTTTAGCTGAGAAACTTTAATGTTCTATTCTTGACTTGCAACCGTTCTCTTGAGATTTACCAAACAATGTTGCTCGCCACGTCGGCTGGTGCCAACAATAGCACTGATAAAATATTCTTTTGTATCATACCACAAAAATGGCTGAATTGCAAGTCAAGAATTCGTTTCGATTTCAATGCACAGAAATTCAACGAGTAATTCCAATCTGACAATCTTATAATCATTGAAAGGAAAATGGTTAACTCATGACATGTTAGGTAGTACGGAATAAGTTGTCTTAGATGTCAGTTTGTTTAAGCTTGGTTTTCACTACGATTTAAGCGTAAGGACAAGCAAAGACAAAAGAAAATAGGAAATGGACCCTCTGACACAATCATCAACATAAGTATAACCATAAAGCCTGGTTTTCACGAGTAAAATAAGCACGTACGTCGAGACTTTTGTTTCCATTGCTCTAGAGGTTTATAAAGACAAAGACATTGGAATTTTCTTTAAATCTTCTTTTTTCTTCTTCTTATAGCTTATGCTTTAATTTTTTTCCTTATGCTTGCGCTTATTTCGATGCTTATGTCACATGCTTCGTTAATTATCTTTGTTTTTATCTTTTGTCTACGCTTGTGCTTATCCTTATTTCCCTCGTGTGAACCAGGCTTTAAGCGCAGCAAACACAACAACTTGACTTAAGCGTAAGGTGAAACAAAAGCAAATTGAAGGGAAAATCCTTTTTGTTTTGTTCATCAAACCTCGAGAGAATATGCTATAATGAAAACTATAGGCTTTAAGATACTTGTTATGTTTTTTTAAATCTAGATCTACCGTATTGTAATGTTCCTTTGGGAATGGAGAATGGAAGGATTTCAGACCGTCAAATTACAGCCAGTAGTTTTCAGCCTTCGCATGAACCAAAACAGGCCAGATTTCGACACAGTGGTTCGTGGTGTCCAGGAATCAAGAACAAGGTAAAAAGTTGGTAGTTTTAATTATACAGACATTGAGTAATGGCTTCAATTGTTGATTAACAAGAATTAACTCAGGCTTTTATCATATTACCCGTGTCATAAATATTGGCATTAAATCGTTAGCAATTTTTGTTTGAATATAAATACACCCGCTATCTTTCAAAGACAAAAATTACAAATTTTGATTAATAATTGGTTTGCACAGAACACTTTCATATTAATTAAAGAAAACTTTGTATTAATCAAATGTAGTTGTGGATTTTACATTATTAAATTTGTATTAGGATACTATATAGATAAAACATGTCTAATCAACTAGACCTCGTTAATCATCTCTAATAAGCACGTTTACTCATTTTTGGATCGACTAAGATTCCTGAAAATAATGTCATTAAATTTTTAATACATTTCAGAAAGAATATCTTCAAGTTGAACTCCTTTACTTGTCCGATGTTAGAAAAATAATTACAGAAGGAAGTGTTCTTTCATATATAGTGAGAACGAGCATAAACGGAGAGACGTACAAAGATTATAAAACATCTGGAGGAAAAGAACTGGTATAAGTTATATTAACTGATATTAGATAGGATCACCTCTGCCAAACATCTACATAGAAAATTAAGGAGGCTCTATCATAATACAAAATATGAAAAGAAAGCCTGGCAAGTTTTCTATTTCGTACATGTTATATTACTAATAAAATCCTTTTTCTTCTTTCATTCAATATATAAATATTTATGGTATGGTTAACCGTTTGTGTAAAATTCGAGTTTTGTGGCATGCTTAAGACAAAGATGGACTGCATAAATTCTTCCCTTACTTCACAAATAAAATAAAATTAAGCATGTTTAACTGATGCTTACTGCAGATACGTTTTACTTTAACTTAGCTCAATTTTTTTGTCACTAATGAGACCCGAACTAAAACTGTGTGAATTATTAAAATTTAATATGAGTCGTTTAAGCAAACGATGAAAAAGAAATAAATTTAATATTTACAAACTAAGATTACGAGCTTCTAAAACATCAAATATATGTACATTCAACTGTTTTTCATATTTTTAGACGCCATACAATTCAAAAAGCTTTCAGTATCTTAACACAAAATCTTTAGTTGCAAAGTTTGTCAGAATATATCCAATACGCTGGAATGCAAGTACATATCCATGTTTAAGAGTGGATTTTATTGGTTGTCGTGCAGAAGGTAGCTAAATATTATTAATATATAGATGAGCATAAGGATAAATTTTCAGGAATCTTGATAGTAAGTTGTTATGCAAATTTGTGAGGCAAAATTATGCTTTCCATGCTTCACGATACCTCGATCCCCAAAACATAAAATATGCTTATTTTTTTATAATTCTTTGTCGGTCTGTATAGTTTCTTATGTATTATTTAGCATGGATAGGAGGGCTTTTGAAGTGCTTATCTATATAACAATTAATTACATTTTTACATCTAGTTCCACAGTCAACAATATGTGAGGGGAAAAACTGGATTAAAGGACCAGACAATCTTTGCTTGCAGTTTAACAACGTTCAAAAGTCATGGACAGGTAATAACTGCTGCATAAATATTTATATGTGAATCTAGCCTGTCTACCCTGTTTTTAATGCTTGTTGGGCCATAAAAACAGATAAGATTGGTAAAACGGCATGTTAAAAACTTCATTTTTTAAAATATCATGCGCCTTTAATGGCATCTCTTTTAAACGTATTCATATGATATTCGGTATTATCATCACTCGATAAGTTTGGGGAGGTGACAAGCTTTGTGCATGCTCCTAATACGATTCTTTTATATATCAGGGTCATGTTTTTTAGTCTTACAAAGCAGTTTTTACATTATGAAGCAATTTTAATGTCCAGATGCTCGATCGACCTGTGTGGAAAGAGGCGGCGACTTGCTGTCAATATTCTCCAATGAGGATATTTATCAATTGAAACCACTTTTCCAAAAATATGTTCATGATTATCACTGGATTGCATTGAATGAACTTGATTATAAGAAAACATATTACTGGAGCAATACTGATGTTAATGGCTACATGGATTGGGGCTCTGGTACCTCAAATGATGTTTTCTACAAGCCAACCAGTGAGTATATACATGTATATATTTTTGAGGTATACTTTTCAACATTACTGAAGTCATTCCGTTTCACTTTTATTGTTTTAAGGAACACAATGTGTCACACTGAAAGCGAATAAATTTTCATTTAAAAATGAAGACTGCGCGTATCATTTTCCATTCATCTGCATGAAAGGAGGTAATGTTATTTTTTATCATCATGTATTATCAAAACACTAAATATTTAAAACCAGGGGAATGATAAAAAATATTCTTTTGTGGAGATATATACAATCACCAACAGGGGCCTTCATATAAACACGAAAGCGTAACCAAAAGGTTTTTAAAGTGCCTCAATTAAGGCTTGCAAATATATTTGTGAAATCTTTATTCCTGCAAAGTGTATATGAACTATGAACTTTATGGCAATGTCATACAAGGAATCAACTGTTTAATTGGATGACTTTGCATAACATTAAAGGGTTAGATTTTAGGTCCTTTCAATAGATTCAACTATATAACAGCCTTAAAAGCATGAACACGTTGGAAGCAATAAATATAAAGTAATAAACGTGTTGTTTTCGCACAAAAACATGTATTTTTGCTGAACTTTTAATTATTTGGTCATATAAATACTAAAAACTTGAGCGAAAAGTAGCTGCTGTCGTAAAATAAAAATCTGTTTCATAATACCTAGAACGAAGTCTTGGAAAAGATGTGGTCCAATCCGGTCCAACTG